GGATCCGGGGATGCCCGGGGGGGTGGGAAAGCACCAGGAGGGGGGGTGCTGCGAGCCCTGGGGGTGCCCAAGCTCCGGGCCCCAGGGATGCTGCGAGCCCCGAGAATGGTAAATCATCCGGAATGGGGGGTGCCGCAAACCCCAAGGGTGCAAAACCACCAGCGCCTGGGGAGGCTGCAAGTTTGGGGTGCCCGAGCAACGCACCCCGGGGACGAAACAGCACCGGGGAATGGGGAGCAGCCGGCGCTGGGCCCAGGACAGGGGTGACACCGGAGCACCCAGGGGTGACACAGCCCCGGGCTGCGGAGCATCAGCACCCCCGAGATGGTGCAAACCGGGGTGGCTCCCAGCCCCGGGGATGTCACAGCACTAGGGACACACCAGCACGGGGGCCATGGGGGGGGGGTCCCAGGTCCCCCTGGGTGCTGCCACCCCCTCCCCTGTCCCCCAGAGCGGCGGCGGGGGCTGTCCCAGTGTCACAGCGGGAGAAGAGGCCGTGCGTGTCCCGCACGTCCCCTTCAGCGAACCCCAAAAAGATGCTTTTTCATCCCAAGGATGAAAGGGGCCATGCCCGGTGCCGCCTCGTGTCCCCCGTCGCCCCACGGGGGGAGGATTGGGGAGCCACGTTGGGCACTGGTGGGCTGCGGCCTGGTTGCCCCGTGGCCACTGTCACCCTGCCAAGGGGACCAGTGACATTGGGGGGGGGGACCCACCCCGAGGCTGTTGGGGCGCCGGGGAAGTGGGTGCCCAGCAGGTCCTCAACACACAATCAACCCCGGGGGTCCTCGCGTGGGACAGGCCCTCCCCCCCCATACCCACGGGAGGTCACGGGGCGGGGGGGGGGGGGCGGCACCCCAGCCCCCCACCATATCCCCTGGTGCGGGGCCCCCCGCGATTCCCCCCCTCCCGGAGCGGGAGCGGAGGCCAGAAATAGCCCGGGCTGCCGCTGGTGCTGTCACCGCTCAGCTATGCCCCCCCCTCCCCACGCTGCCCCCCCCCCCCCCGCTAAAGAGGGAGCCCGGGGAGGGGAAAATAGCACCCACGGCGGGGGGGGGGGGGGGGGGCTCCGTGGGCAATGCACATCAGGATGGATGATGCAGGAGCCCACCCCCCCCCCCTCCCGCTGCCGGGGGACATACCCGATATACTGCCCCCCCCCTCCCCCGATATAAACACGCCCCCCCCCACGCCCCCCCCCCCCCCCCGTACCTCCGAAGCCGGCGGAGCAATAGGCATCGCTGATGTCCGTGTCCGGCGTGCGGACATTTTCCGCGTGGAGGATGAAGACGCGGAGCATCGCCCCGGCCCGGCCGCCTCCCCCCCTGCCCGCTCCCCGCCGCCCCCCCCTCCCGGTGTCCCCCCCCCCCGCCCCGGTCCCGCCTCCCTTAAAGGGGAAGGGCCGCAGCTGGATGCGGCCCCGCGGGCAGGGGAGGGCGGGAATAGGAACATCCCCCCCCCTCCCCGGCCCCCCCCCGCTCTTGGAGGCGGCTGGAGAAGCCCCCAAAAAGGATGGATTGGGGGGTGGGGGGGTGGGGGCTGGCACCCCCCCTCTGCAGCAAGGGCGGGTGAGTGTGTCCCCCCCCGGGGACCGCGCAGGAGGGGGGGGGGGGGGAGATCTAAGCCCCCCCCCCCCAAATGGGGCAGGTAAGGGGGTTGTGCTCCCCCGCTCTTCCCTTCGCTCGCTTCCCGTGGGTGGGGGGTGCTGCAGGAGCAAGAACCGCCCCCCCCCCCCCCGCCCCCAAAATAGGGTTTGGCCCACGGCGGGGTCAGCACCAGACCCCCCCCAGCCCCTCACCGTGACACCAGGGCCAGACCTTGGGGGGGGGGGGGGGGGGGGGCAACATCATTTCCAGGGTGGGAAACAGGGGGTCTGGGGGGGTCCAAGCTCCCAAGCTCCATCCAGGGTGAACCCCACAGCCCCACCCCACCGCCCCCCCCTCAGCAGGGTCCCCCCCCTGAGAGCTGGGTGCTCACACACCCCCCCCTGCCCCAGGGGTCCCCCCAGCTGAGGGGCACGGGGAGGGGGGGGGAATGACACAGACACACACACACCATCCCGTGTTATGTGTGTCGTTCCCCCCCCCCCCCCAAATGCTCCTTCCCTGCCTCAGTTTCCCCAGCTGGGGGCTGGGAGGGGCAGCTGGGGACACCCTCGGCTATTTCGGGGAGGTTATTTTTACCCCATTTCCCAGCAAGCGGCTCAGCCAGGTCCCTCCCTCCCAGCCAGGCCAGGCCCCCCCCCCCCCCGGCCACACTCCCTTTTTTTACCCTTTTTGGCTTCATCTGAACCCATTTCCCACTCCTCCCCGCCAGGTACCAACCCCCCCCCCCCCCCCCCCAGCGTCACCCCAAAACCCGGAGCCGCCACCGACGCAGAAACTCTGTGGAAGCAGCAGCGTAATCGCCGCTGGGAGGAATTTAATTATCAGGGAATTAAAGGCCGGGGGATGGCAGGGCACGGGGGGGCCCCCAGCCCCCCCAATATTTAGCAGCACCCCCCCTTGAAAGAGCCCCCTCGTCCCCCATCTAGCCCTCCCTCGGCTCCCCGGGAGCACCCACGTCCTGGCAGACCCCACTGTCTCGGCCCTACGAGGAGTTTTTCTTTTACAAAACCCTTGAAAAAATCGAAACCCGGGCGCCGTGGGGCCGGGCTCCCCGCGAGGCAAAAATCCTGCAAGGGCAGCGGAAAAGCTGTTGCAAAAAAAACTTCATGGATTTTCCTTAAAACCATCGGCCCCGTGGGGCCCGGGGAGGAGGAGGGGGGGGGGGGGGGGGCGCGTTTTAATTACCAGCAGCTCCAAAATAAACTCAATTTGCAGCCCCCCTAGGCGCAGGAGGAAGCGCGGCACCGTACGTTTTGGGGAGCAACGTTCAGAAAACCAGAACCAGTACCGGGGTTTGGGGTTTTACTTCATTTTTCCTCAGTTTGTTTTTTTCCACATCACCCTGGCTGGAGCGGGGGGCGGACAGGATGGTTTTTGACCTTGAAATTCCTAATTAAGCAGCTCCCCCCTCCCGGGTGCTGCATCTTTTCGCTGCAGCAGTTACGGGGTTTGTCCGAGGGGCTCTGGGGTCCCAAGGGCAGAGCCAGGCCCAAGGGGGCTCCGAGGACGCGGAGCAGGAACGGGATTCACCGAGGGACCCCACGGCCTCGGGGGTCCCGCCGGGCCCCGCAGCCGGCCACGAGGCTGCTGGACGCTCATCCCTCCCACGGACACTCGGCAAAATTGGGGCTGAAGCTTGGGGGGCAGCAGCAGGAATAAGGAACAACGTTGGGTTTCGGTCCTCCGCGCAGAGGAAGCAACAGGAGAGAAACCGTGGTGAGGAATGACCCCACGGAGGGACTCGGGGAGACTCAGAAACACCGCCCCAGAAAGTGCATGGTAAAAGAGACAAGGGGCTGGTGAGGCTGGGGGGGCCCCCCCAGGAGAGGAGGCAGCTCACACACACACACACACACAAAAGGGGCTGGTGAGGCTGGGGGGGCCCCCCCCAGGAGAGGAGGCAGCTCACACACACACACACACACACACACACACACAAGGGGCTGGTGAGGCTGGGGGGGCCCCCCCAGGAGAGGAGGCAGCTCACACACACACATACACACACACACAAGGGGCTGGTGAGGCTGGGGGGGCCCCCCCAGGAGAGGAGGCAGCTCTCACACACACACACACACACACACACACACACACACACACAAGGGGCTGGTGAGGCTGGGGGGCCCCCCCAGGAGAGGAGGCAGCTCACACACACACACACACACACACAAGGGGCTGGTGAGGCTGGGGGGCTCCCCCCCAGGAGAGGAGGCAGCTCTCTCACACACACACACACACATACTCTTACCCTGAATCACGCTGCGGGGACTTGCCAAGTCTCTGCTGCTCTAAATCCCTCGGGCGTGTTTTTGAGACACTGATCTGCTCCCGGGAGGGGGGGGGGGGCTTGAGCAGTGCCTGCAGCAAAGCAGGGGACACAAAAAAAAAAAAAACAACAAAAAAAAAAACAAAAAAAAAAAAAAACAAAAAACAAACAAAAAAAAACCCAACCAAACAAACAAAAAAACCCCCACAGCCCAAGGGACTCTGAGGGACTCCGTGGGATCGTTCCCCCCCCCCCCGTATCAGGGAACACGTTTCACCACAGCGACATGCCCGTGCTTCCTTTGCTAAACCCCAAATTCCATTTATTTTGGCGATTTGCTGATCAGAGGCCGGCAGACACCAGGATTTCGGTATCAGCTATGGCACAGGTATGACTTGTAATGTCCTTCCCCCGCCAGGCAGAACCCCAAAATCTCTCATTTCCGTGGACAGGGAGGAAGGCTCCTTACTCCCCCTCTCTTACTGCTGCCACGTAACTCAGCCCAAGCCAGCTACCCGGAGTTTGCAGGAGTGGCAGAGACAGCGGTGGATTTTCAGAAACGGTCTTTTAAATAAATCTCAAGCAGCTAGGTGAAAAACAAAAGCTGGAAGCAAAGTCAACCCCGATCCAGACCCTGCCCCACTGGTACGAGCGTGGCAGGCGGAGGCCCAGCCTCGGCAGTGAGCAACACTCCAACTGCAGATTACAAACCACGGCGCCGAGCGCTCCCCGGCCCCTGACCCCCCGCCTGGAGCAAAGCGGGGGAAAACCAACCCCAAAAAAACGAGCAAACTCGGTCCCCAAGGAGAAACAGCACGGGGCAGTGACCTCCCTGGCCGGGCGCAGCAACGGCCGGGACGCTGAGGCAGGAAGAGGCTTTCTTCTCCTGGATGGCCTCAGCTTTGTCTTCATGAGATTATCGCGAGATTATCGCGAGCCTGGGGGACAAAGGCAGCTGAAGGGAGCGCAGCAATCCTCAGGGCCCCCCCCCAAATCTTTACCCCGACTCGGGTCACTGCTCTGGGGCAGCACGGAGCGCCAGAGGTCTCCGGGACGAATTCCCTCCCGGTCCCTGTTGGGATCCAGAGTTGGCAAAACACAACAAGTCACACCAAAACACAGCCCCCCGGCGGTAACTATACAGTAAGAACATTTATTTTATGTCAACACTTGTAAAAGAAGTCTCTCCCAAGTCAGATGATTTGATATACAAATCAAAGCCACCATACGTTTTTTCATTTAGTCTGTGCCTATACTGAGCTCAAATTTATACAACATGAATGCTTGCTTCTGCAACAAAATTACAAATTAAATCATAACAAAATACACAAAATTGACTGGACCCTAAGTTTAATTCACTGAAAGAACTCTTCTTTCCTCCAATCACCTTGAGCTCTGCTCCTCCCCGTCGTTATCCTCGTCCTTCTGCTTGGCCATGAATTTCTGTAGAAACAAGGGTAGCCAGTGAAACGACATCGCTGTGTTATTCCTCAGCCCACGACAAGACCATGCTCTAAATACAGCACCCACAAACCAGCCTACTCCTCATACTGATAAGGCGCGAGCCGAACCCGAAAAAGACTCCCAGGTTTTGCTGGCAAACCGACACGCCCGCGCACAGAGTCGCCAAGGGGTGAAGCTCCCCAGCGGAATTTTTACAGGGCAGACGGCAAATTACTCGCCATCGGGAGTTCACACGATGATGGGGACCCTGGGGGGTGGTGAGGAAATACAAACCAGTAACTCCACATTCACCGCAGGCTGGGTGCTCCGCGCGCCGACGCTGATAAACCCCCGCCCAGCCCGGCCCCTCGGGGGCAGGCGCCACGGCCCCGCCGAGGGGAGCTCGGACCCCAAACTGAACCTTTCCGGCTGCCAAACGGGCCTTCTGGGGATCCTGCACCCGTGGGGTTATTTCAGCCAGTCTGGCGTTTCAGCAGAGCAGGAAATCCGACCAAGCCACGCTGTCAGACACGACGCTGCGTGGGGGGGTTTTTTTTAAAAGTAATTTCTTAAAAACGGAGACAACAGCTATCCCCTCGCCTTCCTAGGCAAGGAAGGCTTCATGTAGGTGACGAGCTTCAGCAACTCAACGATACCTGTGTCTGAGTTTAACACTAAAATCCCTTGAAGCATTAGCAGGAGCTCCCTCCGCCACTAGGAAATTATCAGCACTCGTGAAAGCAAACATTTTTAGGAGGGTATTCTTTCCCCCGCCGTGCGTCGGGGGAAGCTGCAGCATTACCTCCATGTTTTGCTGATGAAGCGGTGTCTTGCAGTGGTTTTTCACAGACAGCTCATCCGCGTAGAACAGCGAGCAGATCTGACAGAAGAAGCCAGCCTTTGGAACGAGGTAATCCAAATCTGAAGGGACAGGACACGGCGTTAACGTTAGGGACACACAGCTTTACAAATATCCCGGCAACAAAACACGGCTCCGACAACAAGATTTGAAAATCAGATCCCTTTAAGGCAAATCCGTATGATTTATTACTGGAAGTTTTGGGTATTCAAAAAATTAGGCTTCTAATCCGAGTTGGCCACCTGCCCCACTTCAGCGAGCAGAGGAGGACGCGTGCTCTTCTGCCCCTCTGGAGCTGGTGCTCCCTGTGGCTCCCTCGGCGCCTTTCGGCCTCGGGGGTGTTTCATACACAGCTCATCCCTGCCCTGCAGCGCGTCACCCAAGCCTTCTGTGTCACAGAGAACATCACACGAGCCATCAGGCAAGGCAAGGATCCGCATCCTCCTAGCCACTTCTTCTACAGTTCAAGTGCTAGCGGTGGTTTTAAAGAAAAGTATTTTAGGGGAGGGTCTTGGAAAATATATATATATACACACACACATCTTTAAAACTATGTAAGCAGTTCCCTCGTTTTTATACGTTGAAAGTTGGTAATGGAACTCAGATCAGGATTCGAACAGTAAGCAGGTATTACACTGCACGGTGCTAATTACAAATAAATTAGCTGGTATTTGTACATTTTAGGGGAAGAGAACTTGCAGTTTTGCTGCTGCCGTTAAGGCAACAGCAGACACTTGTTAAACGTGCATTTGTAGGAGCCAAGCTAAAAAACACAGATTATGGGCCCTGACTTTCAAGTTAAACGTGGCCAGGAGGCAAAGGGGGCATTTTTGAAGGGGCAAGAAAGCTGTCTCCCAGCAAGAAAAACAGGAAGCATTTGGGGTGGGTTGTTCTGGTTTTACCTTTTGGAGTACTCTGCGCCTTTGATACATCTGAAGAAGCTGTTTTCTTCCGCTTCGGCTCTGGTTCTTTATCTCCTGATCCCAGCTGATCTGCTGGGGGCCATAAATTCACGTTAAACAAAGGTAACGGCTAGTTTCAAGGTATTCTGTATCGAGCTGCGAGGGGTCGTTACTGCTCCCAACACACACCACCCGTAGGGGCCTTGCTGCCGCCCGCACTATTCAGTTTGCTCTTCCCACAGAGCAATTTTCAGGGAATTCTGACACCAATCCTGCAGCCAAGACTTCCAAATAGGGCCCCGGTGAACAACTCCAGCACACAGCCCTTCACAGGCGCAGCGCCGCCGCCCTCGGCTGCTGCCGACCACAGCTCCCATCAGCAGCTTCAAGCCAACTCTGTGATTATGATCAGAAAAAAAAAAAATCTCAATTTCTTTATCATACGAGCTGCCAAGCTTGCGTGAATCGCTCTAGCTCGAGGTCCAGCAGCAGGGCTTCAGCTTCATTACAGAACCAGCCCGAACCAACAGAATACGTGACTGGATTAACCAGCTCGAAGGAAAGATCAAAATGAACATTGTAAGATTTTTCTGGAGACAAGGAGTTTGACAGAGTATCCACTACCGAAAGAGAAACAAGGCCTTTGGGTTTTAGCGACTCAAAGCAGTCCAACGGGCAGGTGAAGAGTCACACATCAAAAACACCTGGTTTCTAATTCTGTAAGCAAATAATCTAGACACCAACATGTCCTAAACAAGGCTAACGCAATAAATCCTTTGCTTCAACAACAAAACCCAGGAAGCTGCCGAAGGAACACAGCAGCCAGCACCAGCCTCCTGCACCCCTCCATAGTGAATATCTCACCGCATCGTGCCCAGAACCCACCCGTGCCCCGGGCTGCAGCCAGAGCAGGGGGGGCAGCAGGGCCAGGGGGGGATTGTCCCCCTCTGCTCCGCTCTGGGGAGACCCCCCTGCAGTGCTGGGGCCAGCTCGGGGGCCCCCAACAGCAGAAGGACCCGGAGCTGCTCGAGCGGGGCCAGAGGAGGCCACGGAGATGCTGGGGGGCTGGAGCAGCTCCCCTGGGGGGCCGGGCTGAGAGAGTTGGGGGGGTTCAGCCTGGAGAAGAGAAGGGTCCGGGGGGACCTTCGAGCAGCCCCCCAGGGCTTAAAGGGGGGACAGGAGAGGTGGGGAGGGACTCTGGATCAGGGGGTGGGGGTAGGACGAGGGGGGACGGTTTTAAGCTGAAAGAGAGTAGGTTTAGGTTATATATAAGGCAGAAATTGTTCCCTGTGCGGGGGGGGAGGCGCTGGCCCAGGGTGCCCAGAGCAGCTGTGGCTGCCCCCTCCCTGGAAGGGTTCAAGGCCAGGTTGGACGGGGCTGGGAGCCCCCTGGGCTGGGGGAAGGGGGCCCTGCCCGGGGCAGGGCTGGTTGGAACTAGATGATCTTTAAAGTGCCTTCCAACCCAAACCGTTCTATGATTCTATGATAACCCAGACAAGTAGCCCAGACAAGACAGTTTGTTCTGTACCTCCTTTCAGCGTGGGGTGAAGTGCTTCCTGGCTGCTGGTACCCAAAGATACTTGCTGAATCACAGAACGATTTGGGTTAGAAGGGAATTTTAAAGGTCATCTGGTCCAACCCCCCTGCCACGAGCAGGGACATCTTCAACAAGATCAGGTTGCTCAGAGCCCCGTCCAACCTGGCCTTGAATGTTTGTGGGGGATGGGGCATCTACCACCTCTCTGGGCAACCTGGTCCAGGGTTTCACCACCCACACTGTAAAAAATTTCTCCCTTACATCTGGTCTGAATCCTACCCTTTTTTAGTTTAAAAGCATTACCCTTTGTCCTACTGCTACAGGCTGTATTAAAAAGTCCGTCCCCATCTTAGCCAAAGAGAAGAGAAGGCTCCGGGGAGCCCTTCGAGCGGCCTCCCAGGGCTTAAAGGGGGGACAGGAGAGGGGGGGAGGGACTCTGGATCGGGGGGTGGGGGTAGGACGAGGGGGGACGGTTTTAAGCTGAAAGAGAGTAGGTTTAGGTTATATATAAGGCAGAAATTGTTCCCTGTGCGGGGGGTGAGGCGCTGGCCCAGGGTGCCCAGAGCAGCTGTGGGTGCCCCCTCCCTGGAAGGGTTCAAGGCCAGGTTGGACGGGGCTGGGAGCCCCCTGGGCTGGGGGAAGGGGGCCCTGCCCGGGGCAGGGGGGGGCACTGGGGGGGCTTTGAGGGCCCTTCCCACCCAAACCCCTCTGTGATCCTGTGCAACACACAAAGTTTCAGCTCTGCCAGGTGGCTCCTCACCAGCAGCAGCCTGCCTGTCATCTCTGAACTGCTGGCCCCAAGCAAGCAATAAACCGCTTCCTATTTTGCTGCTGGATGCAGATTTTAAGACCCGAGTGACAGGATTTTGTACGCTTTAACCTTTCCTTCACAGTCTTCCTGTTCCACCTCCCAAATTCAGGAGAAACTAGTCCTTTCCTAAGTCCAACTCTTTTGCTTGAGATTTTTACGATACAGAGAGGAACTTACTGCGTATCAACTAAATTTATTATAATTTCTCACTAGAGATTGTAAAGTCAGAAATCAACTCCAGGGCTTGGAGAATTGAAGAGATCTTTTTACAACTAACCTTCTAACAGAACACAGGTATTCTGCGTTTTCAGTCAAAGCCTTTGTTAATCGTGGGGAATGTTATGTTCTATGACATTAAGATTAAAGCAATATAGAACACTGAAATATTTTGGGGTGTTTTCACAGTTAGCTAATCCTTTTCCTAATAGAAACTGAAGCGTAAAATACTGCTTTAAGCGAGATATCTGCCTCTGCTGCAGCTCCTCCCTATCTGCAGGGCTCAGCTTGCCTGTGCTGCCCCACGAGCGGGAGATGGGAGAAAAGCTTTGCCAAGGCGCTGGAACAAAAGGTGCCTGTGTCAGTGCTCAGCTGCATCAGCAGGGACAGACAGACAACTCGATACGGTGGGCTGCATCACGCCGAGCCTTCGCCCACGCTCTGGCCAGAACTCTTGGTTATACATAGCTCTCCCTGCTTGGCTCGGCGTTGGGACTTTTTAACCCTTTGCTAACTCCACGCTACAGATTTCTTCTTTTTGCCTCCAGATCCAGCCTGGAAGCAGTTACATCTTTGTATCTGTGTGTCTGCTCCATTTACCTCCCTTGGTTTAACGAAGTTTGGCCCCGTAGTTAAAGACTATAAACAATCTGTGCAGTGTTAGCTAGCTCACTGGGCCTTGCATTAAAGGTGAGAGAAGAAACTGCTTCCCCCAATTTTAGCCATCAAAACCACCAAACGAACACTTTACCTCGACAGGCCGCTTAATTTCACATCCCAAGGAAGGTGCACTGTAAAACGCATTAATGAACTACCTTACCTTCAGGCCACTGTTCATTCTCAGTTGGTTTTTTTCCCAGCATCTCTTTCATTAACTTCGTCAAAGAGTTGAGGTTTTCCAGTTTCCTCTATTCGCTACAAGCGTCTTTTAGTGGGTGGCACTGAGTACAAGCATCTTATTTTCTATTTCCCCTCCAGAATCTATGAAAGGTTCCTTACCTTTTGATTTCGAGACTGCAATAATTTCTGCTTCTGGACTCATATCTCCCAGAATTTCCATTTCTTCTGGTCCTGCGACAGCAACAATATCCTCCTCTTCTGGTCCTGCAATGGCAGCAATTTCTTCTTCTTCTGGTCCTGCAACAGCAACAATATCTTCGTCGTCTTCATCCTCATTCAGACTTTTCCCTGGGAAAGTGTTTTCCTCTTCCTCGTCCTCCTCTCCAACTTCATCTACTGTAACAAAGTTTAGCTCCTCTTTCAGGCGATTGAAATCAGCCAGAAAATCATCTTCATCCTCGTTAACTTCATCCAAAGTCACTAGAGGGTTATCTTCGTTGTCCTCTTGTATCTCATCTACTGTCACTAAAGCACTGGGATCATCAGGCACCTGGGAGGAAGCACAGTCCCCGGCATCCTCAGCAGCCACTTTACTGTCCTCCTTGGCCTTCAGCACATCCTCGGCGCTCAGGTCTGTAGGCTCGTTCAGAGGCAGCTCTTCTACTTCCCCGATTTCATCCACCGTTACCAAGGGTTCAGCTTTCAAACCCTGCTCCTCAAAAAGCACCCTGGGCACGACTTTATGGGAATGAAGCTCCTCCTGCTCCGATATCTCATCCAACGTAACAAGCGACTGCGGATCCTTTGCTTCTGACACAAGTTCCTCCTCTTCCATCACTTCATCCACTACAACCAGGCCCTGCGGGTCACTCAGCGCTTCTAAATTAGCGACTCCCATTAGCTGTGCAGTCACGTCCTCCTCCTCACCGATTTCATCCAAAGTGACAAAAGAGAGTTCGCTTTCGGCGGCGCAGGCGAGGGAGCTCTTCCCTTTCCTTCTCTTGGAGCTAGGCTCAGAAGAGGAGTTGGCTTTAGCACCCTCTTTTCTCTTCCCCCTGGGTGGATTGCGCTGTGTTTTAACGGGAGACTCCGTTTCTTCTACGACCTCATCCACAGTAACGAATTCATCCAGGTTAAATGGGAACAGCTCTTCTTCCTAGGAAGTGTCAAAATGTTAGTATCACAGAGTTTGACATTCACCCAATGACACAAGCACTTCCATCCACAGGGTGTCTAAGGAAAAATGCCTACACCCTGAAGCTGGCTCGAGGAGGGGAAACGAAAACAATGCACCTGGACTTGAGGGTAGAAACAAATTTTCAGGCCTTCAGTCTCACGTGGAAGAGGTTTCATATGTGGAAGAGATTTCATTACCAGCACTTGTGTTCAGTGAGCAGATTAAATTCAGAACCCCAAAGCATTTTTCAAAAACACAGCAGATGAACAGGCAACATTTATGTCCATTCAGAGAACCGGGCCAATGCCCTGACCGGTCACCTCGATTTCTGCCCTCACTTGCAGGAAGACCAACGAAAACCTGAATGCCTCCAGAGCACCCCCCCGCGAACACCACCCCCCTCTGCCGTATCTCATTCTCTTCCCGAAGCACACGCTGTTGGCCACTGCTCCGGAGCAGGAGGCTGCATTGGATGTTTCGATCCAGCAAAGTCCTTCTGTGCCCCGATGCCTACTCGCTGCTTTACCTCGTCCCTTTGGTTTCAGTCCCCCAACAATCGTGTTTCCGAGCGGTTCTCCGACGGCCCCGCGCTCCAGCCCAGCAAAGGGCTCCCCGTGCAGGAACCTCCCTTTGGTTCGCCATAGCCAACACGTACCACATCATTTGCTCCTTTCTGTTAAGGTCCCACCAGCCCCACAGACTCTCTGGCAGACTTGCTGCTCCTCCCTGTGCCAGCCGCCCTTCGTTATGAGCTGGGGACAAGCTCCAGCTTTCCTGGTGAATGCCTTGCTGGACTTTTATGGTGAAGAGGACAGAGCCCGACCCTTTCTGACTCTCCTCAGCCAGTGGCATGCTCTTACCGGAGCATGTCTTGCATCTAAAACTCCTCCTTGCCCTGCAGTTTGATCATGCCACCTTCCATCAGGGCTCACACAGTTTATTCTAGGACCACTGGAAAGAATCAACAGCGATTTAATGACAGACGTAGCTGGGAGCATTTAGAAGAGGATGTATGGATAGATGCTGAATTTAATAAAAGACTGAATTAACCCAAATTACTTTAAGGTTCTTTGAATAGACAGCAGTGATGGTTCTGGAGCAGAGCATTACACTCTGTTCACTGTAAAACAGCTATGCTTTTATAATCAGGATGGTAGGATAAGGTTCTGGAAGTCAATTAATAAATTTTAGCCACCCAAATGCATGCAAATCGCAATTCCACCCCAAATCATGCATTCAATTTCTTCAATGAACAATCCTGAGTTATTTTTCCAAAATATTCCATCCTACCATCAAACGGTGGTTGGTATCTAACACAGGAGGAGTAGAAAAAACCCCTTGTCCAAGCAGAACTTTAAGGCCAAGGCAAGATAAACTGGCCTCTCTTAGAGCCAAGAAATACTAAAAACAGTCCGCCAGCAGAAAAAGTAATCTGAAATGCAAAGGCTATACGCCTTTTCCTCCCTTTCTTTTTTAAAAAGCTAACAAATACTCGAGATAATGTGTGCCTCCACCCACATTCTGATGCAGAAACTTGAGGAATATTTAATGCAAGGTGGGCACAGCAAAGAAAAGGAAGAAAGTATCTGGTTACATTTCAACTGCAATCAAACATTACTGCATTCTTTCCTTTGTGAAAAGGAGAACACAGATCTTGGTTCTTATCATCTGTGTAGCAGTGAAGAGTAAGGCAGTAAGAATTGACATTATAAAACCTTTTTTTTCAAAGGGTGCAGAATTTCCTCCTGGGGATTAACAAACACATCTGGAACATCACATATGAAAGCATTCTCTATTACCATCGCTACCGTCATCTTCACAAACACCCTGTGCTGGTGATGTGAGAAGTTTATGTGGATTAAGATTAATAAAAGGACTCACATCTCTGACTTTATCTCAGAAATCCCTTTTCCACAGGGACTCCCTGCTTACCTGGTAGAGCTTTGATCTGCAACGCTACTTCCACAAACTTATCAATATAGTTTTTTTATTACCTTTTTTCTGCTTTTCTTTCCAAAAGCCCAAGCTATCTAGGAGAGAGAGAGGGTAGCTCTTTCCACCTTCCTGTCAAGAGGCAGGCTCTTTAGCAGCGGAACGTGCAGGCTCCCAAGCTCTTCCTCCAACCAGCCCTGCACCGAAGACGTGCAGTGATGCTTGCTCTGCTGAACAACCCACTGGAAACACCTCGGCACGGAAGAGGTACCATGGGTGGAGACGTCGTGACTACCTCCTGCTGTACAAAGTCATTTATAAAGGGCCAGAGGACTCCAGCCTTCCCTCCTCTTCTCACAAGTGTGATGATGAATAAAGACCTCGGTGCAGGCAACTGGGGATCCAATTAATCAATTCTCTCTCAAACAAATGATATCCGAGACCAAAAACCACCTCCTCTTAACACTCACTTCTTGAACTGAGTTTCTCTTCCAAATGACTTGACTTTACAGCTTTATGCCCACACTCTGTAGCAACTAGTAATGCAGAAAACTCCCCAGGGAAGGACGCTGAAGACTCTTAATACACACACACACACACGCTTTCAAGGCAGTCTGTACTTTCAGTTCATTTACTGTTACATCCTTACCTCCTTCTGGCTTGTGCTGCTGCTAGTGCTGCTTTTTGAAGTTTTAGTATTGCCACCAACAGAAGCCTGCAACACGAGACAAAAGTTCACACGAAATCAGTTAAGCCAACCCATCTGTCCACAAGAGAGAAAAAAAAAAAATAAAAAATAAATACAAATTCAGCTATTTTTTCCCTTAATGAACTTTTTTAAGTTGTCCAGATTGCTGCTTCTGATCACATGCTTGGCAAATACAGAACTAAGCCAACCGTCAGTGGTAGAGTCCAGGCATACAGTCTCTAGTAACCAGTCACAGGTAATACCTTGCTTAGTAGCCTCTGTTCAGTAACCAGTGTCTGTGCAGGACTTGACAATGCAAAATATCAGCTCACAAAAGGACAGAAAGCTTATTCACTCCCATTCAGAACTAATCCAAGAACATAAAGTTGTGACACTCAATAAAGACTCACTGCAGAAATACCTGCCTGCAATTTTTTTTCCAAGTAGCATTTTCAAACCAGTTACGTACTTGCGTTGCACACACTGCATCTAAAAGCAACTGGTTGCCCGCATCTCGCTATTCCAACTTGTCTGTTGGCCCAGACCAGCTGAGTGATTTATGGAAAAGGGAAGGGGAACATAATCTCATTGTCCCCTACTCAACATCTGAGAGAAGCATGGAGTTAGTTACTGATCAGGCACACTGAACCGGCCTTCCTGCCCTCCTCACCTTATTGCTGCTGTTGTCTGTCTTCATGCTGGATGATCTACTCTCTCCCTCTTGAGACTGTTTTGAACTAGCCCTAGATTCCACTCGTGAGTCCTTCTCTTGCGGAGGTGAGCTGCTCCCATTGCCTCCCTTTCCATCAACAACAGAACTTCTGCTCACTTTACATCTGCCGCTGCCATCTCCCAGGCTTGACTGGCTGCCGTCAGGTCTCGGATGACCCGCTTCTCTGGATGCGATTTTCTTCTCCACTGCTGCTTGGCCTTGGCTCTCAGGTTTCGAGGGAGCTTTCTGCTCCCCTCCTTTACACAGGGAAGGCTCATTTCTCTGTACTGGAACCCTTGACTTTGATATATCTGGAAGAGACACTATGGCCTTTAAAATCGTTTTACCAACAGAGGAAGATTCTTTGACAGCTAAAGAGGAGTTTAACATATCTGCTTTGCAGGTTTCATCAGTTTTTGCTGGTCCCGTTCCTTTATTTTGATGGGCTTTGATTAAACTTCCCTCGTTGCTCTCACCGGCAGCGTTCGCAGCATTTTCCACAGCAGCCTCAACGCTGGCTCCAAGTTTCTTCGCTGTCTCTGCCTCAGTCTTGACCAAAAGCTTTGCGGGGTTCTCCTCCGCGGCCCTTCCAGCTTTGAGCGCAGACTCTTCTGGTTTCATCTTTGGGTCATCCAGCTTCTTCTCCGTGGCCGCCCCAAACTTAAGCGCGGGTTTCTTCTCCGGTATCTGAGTTCCAGGCATCTCACGTTCGGTTTTCACAGCATCAGAAACGGGGTCTCTCCCAGGCGGGCCCGACTGGCTGGTTGGCTGTGTGACAGCAGATGACGCCGTCTCCACTGAAGCTGCAGCAGAGCCAGGGGGCACCGCTGCCGGGACGGCCGCCGGCGCGTGCCCTGCCGCCACAGCACGGCCTGGGGGCACACCTGCGGCCTCGCCCACGTCGGGCGGCTCTTCTGGAGGCTCGGTGGCAGGGGCAGACACCTCTCCACCTTTAACTTCCCTCGCCGGCGCAGACCCAACAGCAGATCCAAACGCCTTCGACTCGGCGCCAGCTTTAACTGCCTCCTCTTTCTCCGCGCTGGAAGGCGGCGGCGGCAGCGTCTCTTCTGACTTCGCTTCGGACGCCTGGGTACCAGCGGATTTGGTAGATGCCACAGTAACTTCGACCCCGGCGCCTCCTTTCTCCGCAGACGGCTCTGCCAGTCTTGCAGCGGACTCCCTTCCTGCTCTTTCAAGATGGGACTCAGAGGGCTCTATCTGTCCTGCTGACATCTCGTCTTTGACATTAAGGGTGGAAATGGGTCCTTTCTTTGCCACACTAGGCTCTACTGGAGGATTAGCAGCTGCTGTTTGCACCACTCCTGATCCCTCTGGATATTTTTTCAAGCCAGAGCTAAATGCATTTAAAAAAAACAGAAGAAATCAAACTATGTTGAGAATTCTACAGTTACCAGAAACCTCTTGACGCCAACGGTGGGGGGCTTTCCTGATGCATTAGTGCTTAGCATTTGGAAATCTAGCCCATCAGTGTTAAAATGGTTAAAAACATTGAGGCGAGCAGCTCTGTGCTTCTGTTTAATCCACCTCAGTACCGCAAGCCTCTTACACTTCAAATTACGTTACTCGTAGCCAGACCTCTCAAGGTAGCACCCACTACAGATGTGCCCTGGGACCTCAGCGCTGACACCAACGCCCAAAATTTAGAAGCCCTGCTGCAAGGCAGACCCCGAAAGCGCACATGCAGCGAAAACAAAGCTTCGGTCCCCCTGTATAAAGGAATTACCAGAGTTTTGTTACATTTGAAGGCAGCAGACTCTGCGGTCACCACCCTAAAGGCCTTTTCCAGTAGCTAGGAGTCTGAAGTTTGCTCGGTTTTTTTTGGTTCGGGTTTGGGGGGAGGGAGGGGCTGTTGTGGTTTTAAACTGCATTGAGCTCGCACAATACGTGCACAGAGGCTCCTTTGGGCCAGGCTCTGTTTTCACTGTGTAACCCCACTGTCAGCTCCCAGGATAATAAAGCCCAAGATGACAAAGCGGAGGGCAGCGCTTTTCAGAGAGCTTCGGTTACAGTGAGTGCATTATTCTTCTCTGAAAGAAAGAATCCTCCGTAGATGATCTTGGGAGACACTGAAATTAGAGATGTCTGTGCCCCTTCTCCCACAAAGCTCGAGAAAACGAGCATCCCAACACCTCCTGCATCTCTAGATGGAAAGGTGCCGAAATGCCAGCGCTGACAATCTCGCTAAGTGTCGAAACAAACGCAAAAGCAGCAAACACACAGAATTAATCAGTGGTTATGCACGATGGAGCAGCCTGCACTATGGTTCCGCAGAGCCTGTGCATATGAATAAAGGGTGCGCATTCGTATAAACCCTCACGAAAATAAAAAAGAGCGGAGAAGCCTGCCATTATGGTAACGCTCCCGGCGTGACGACAGCAAGAAAACGGAAGGCTGGATCAAACGGAGCTCAGCGCTGACAAAAATGCTCGGGTTTGAGTGGCCAGATGCGAGGGTTAACGAGACGGAGACACACTGCATGGAGTCAACAGAAAGACAGATGAGAACAGGCAAACTCCGGTAACACCTGGGCTACCCAGCACAACAAAAACACCCATCCGGGAGGTTTCCTCCGGGCCTGAGGGCGCTGGCCCCTGCTGCTGCAGAATGAGGGAGGAGGGGCCTGAATTCTGCTTCGACATCTTTCACGCCACGGAATTTAGAGCTGGCACCGGTGTGCCAGGACAGGACTAGGCACCAGAAGGACGGGTGCAGCACGCTCTGGGGGCGCCCCTCCCCTGGCCAAGCGCTGTGCGGCTCGGTGCCCCTGCTCCCACCACAACGCCGGGATAAGCCTCCTCCAGAGCCCGAGGGGTCTTCCCCAAGAAAAGCAGCCTCACTCGCCCCAGCATCCCCCACCTCTTCTCTAACGGGCTGCTTAAATTTAACCGATTTAAACTCGTTCCTTGCAAATGTTTTGGCCTGCGTGTGCCTCACCAGGGGCTAAAGCAGTCAGGGCTGAACCCCTTTTTTACACCACAGTGTCAGTTTGCCCAGTCACAACACAGAAGGTATTCTGACGTCAGTTAAACCTTGTTAGTGGTGCAAAAGCAAAAACCCTTTTTCCGCTGATTTTCTCTTCTATTTGAGCATCCTACGCACCGCTGAGATTTATGTGCCTGTGTAGCAAAGCACTACCTGGCTAAGTCAGAGCACAGAGCCCAGAAGTGCAGCTCTGAAAGGCCGGGTTTGCCACTGATGCGCAGAAAGCTTCGATAGATACAAGCCCCAACACCTTGCTAAACTGCACCCCACAGCCTGCTCATACATTTTTTGCAGGGAATGGGAAAACGTCCGTGAACACTGGAACCATGTATTAACTACAAAGCTTACAGCGAGGAGCACACAGGTGTTACCCTCTACGCAATTCCAGTGAGATATTGCTCCCTGAAATCCTCGGAATTTTGCGTCTCCTTTCATGCTAACGCCCACCCTGTGCTTTCCACAAAGCCCTCCTGGCCTCCAAAATACACTGATAGATCGAAACCAGGCTGCAAAGCAGTGGAAGGAGAGCTCTGCAGAGGCTGTAATGAGCAGGGATAAAGATGAGTGAGCCTGATGAAGCATCAAGATGCCTGAAGCAACACTCGAAAGACCTGTTAGGGATGGGGAAAGAAACGGCACGTGGACCCGCAAGACACGATTTAAAGCAGCGGACGGGCCTTGAGTCTTAACCTGGCCAAGAAAAGTTCCAGCCCTTTTAGCTGAGGAAAACAAATCCCAACAAAATGCAGCGGCACTCCTGGGAAGAGCAGAGGCGTTCACGTGAACACCTCGGTCACCCCAGCCGCAAGGTGAGGTGAACCACCTCCCCGGGCTGGCGCCAGCTGAGCTTCCAGAGGTGTCCCAAAGGCTTTTTCAAGAGCGTTTCATCATCCCGGGCAACCGAGGGGGCAGCCCCTTCTGCTCCCCACATTTTGCTACTCCTTCCCTCCCCAGGAACACGTGACAAGGTCTCCATATACACAATAATATAAAGATACTGTTTCTTGCTTCATGTAACTAAAAAATAACAATCAGCCAAATCACAAAGGCTTCCAAGGAGAAGACAGTTGCCTCAGACGAGGAGAATGTGCGTGGTGCTATTTTCAGGGGAAAATGTCAGTTTTCCCATCTGTTCAACAGCCACGGCAGGATGCTGGCCAGGAGCTGGGATTCATGGAAGAGTCACTTGCTTTGATTAATTACCACCAGCAGCTACAGCCCACCAGCCCGGAATCACACAGGCCACCTGCGTGTCTGCCTCCCTGCGAGTCGGAGACAGCTTAGAAACTAAATGCCTCCAGAACTGAGTAGGGTCTGAGTAGAAGGTTCATGAAATTAAGAGTGCCTAAGTGTACTTTTGAAGGAAACCAGTTTCGGAAATATAGAAACAGTCCATCAGAGTATAGTGGCGTTGCCTGAAATTCAAGTTTAGGACCATTATTACGCAGTTTTGTTTTGGTTTGGTTTTTTTTTTTTAATGATAAAACTTATCCAGAAATATGGATTTGAACCACAGAAGTTGTTTGAAGTCATATTTGTTAACAAGAACTCTTAGAATGATCTATCCATTTATAAAAAAAGAAAAAAAAAAAAACAAAAAACACAAAAACCATAATCAAGACTCTAAAGCCAACAAGTAGTTACTCCACAATTAGAAATTTTACTACAAGCAATGTTTGTAGAACAATTTTAAACGGAACACACCAAAACCATCATTTCCCATTTCTAGGTTCTGATGTTAATATAGCACCTAAACATTTTTCTAAATCGATTCAGGGACCTGTGTCACAGCATGAAGTTAATGTTAATAAGTTAAACAAGGAAGTTTCAGTTTATTTTTAGCATTTGGAAACAGAAACAAGAGCCAGGTGCTCCGACAGAGGAAAGCGCTGTAGGATGAAATAAAGCAATCACTTCCTGGTTAAATACAACAAAAAAAAACTGTCTTACCAACATGTAAATCCACACACACTTTCCAGGACCTGTGGTAAAATCCTGGCCAAATTAGTAAAACAAGAACAACTCAACGGACTACACAAAAAACAGGATTTTACCCCACTTGTCCATGTTCTCTGAAAGCCCCGGATTTCAAAGAAATCGCAAACGTTACAGCTCTACAGCAATACCCTGCAGGTCCTGCACACACAGAACACACAACAGCTCGGAAGAAGCAACAGCAGGTGACAGTGGCTGGATCTCCCAGCGAGCCTTTTCATCAAGCTTAGTTAGAGAGATGGCTCAGCAATCTGCTCAATCTTGGATATGCATTCCATGAACAATATAGGTATATAAAAAAACCCTTAAATACTTGAAAGGCATACCTTCCTTTGCTTGGTTCCTCTTTCTTCACTTCTTTTTTCACAACTTCAGCCTGAAAGGCAAAAATCAGGGTTCAGTATCTTCGACTTTCAGAAGCATCAGCACAGAATTTGCATAACCCAGACACTTAGTAGCACCAGGAACCCAAATTTAGGCACGGATCACCTGAAAGCCCAAGTGACAGTAACACCAGGAACCCCAATTTAGGCACGGATCACCTGAAAGCCCAAATGACAGTAAATTGTTCTAAAACCACTCCCCACAGAACAGGTATTCCCTAAGAGGACCCCTAAAAGCGCGCGGCAGCGGAAGAGATTTTTCCAAAAAGTTTGCTAGGCAGGGCGGGTGGCACACCACAAGGCGTTCTGTTCGTCTCATCCTCAAGGCTGTCACGTTTCTGAGCAGAAGTGGCTCTCGGTCTGTGATGTACTTGAGGGAGAGGGCTGTTAGACACATCTTTGCCCAGACACACCTTCCTTCCTGCACTGCTGAGGGTGCCAACGGCTGCAGAGCTCCGGGTGAGCGCGGCTAGCCTGACAGCAAGCGCTGTACAGCCAAGAGCAGCACGCCTCTTCTGCAGACAAATTACATTCCACCTCAAGCCAGTGCCTGCGGAGGACCCAAGGCCAGCTGCTGTTCCTTAAAACCTGCGTTCGTTTCTTGTGGGATGACCACACATTTCCACCTCACGCAGGATAAACTTGTGGAATTAACGTTAAGTGAAATAACGTCTTCTGAAAAGAAAGACAACCGCAAACAACCCAAATTCTGCGGCTATCCGTAGCGTAGAGCCAAGCAATCAAAAAAAAAAAAAAAACTTTAAAAACTCAGTGTTGAAATCTTAATCTCTTTTCCGAAGGCATGCTACAAACCAATTTGAAGACTATCACTATTAGAGAGAACATCAGATAAATTCACTGCACGCAGAATTCACTTATTTATGCACGTAATACGAAAGCTTTCCGTTTTCCCTTCCTAAAGACATTTCTTCCAGACGTAAGTGCCGTAAGAACACGCCATAATAAATTTTAAATTAGTTTGGTTTTCCTTCAGACTAGCTTCTGACTGAACGGCTTCTGGAGAAAAGAAGCTCACGGCAAATGGAGCTGCAAGTGTAACGCCCCTACGGTACCCGGGCACGTCACCCAGATTCTGGCGACGCAACTGGGAAGATGGGCAAGAGGTAACAGACTCACACTGCACTGAAAAACAACGGACGGAAAAAACTCAAGTTTTCCCTCTTATCAGTACCAGGCCTGCTTCTCTCCACCTCAGCCACAGGTGAAAATAAAGCTCAGGAGTGCATCTCCAAAGCACAGATTTATTTTAGCATTTATGCAAAAGCGGTGACACGCGTCGACAGAGGCGGGGAGGACACCAGGTGCAGCCGCGCCCTGCGGCTCCGTACTCCAGCCGCACATCCTCCTCCTCCGCTGTCGCGGGAGTTTCCCCGCGGTTTTGTTATTTCCGGGGGATTCAATTCAGATATTACCAGCAAAATTACAGAAACAAAACTATAATGTGAGTAAGCGAGCACTTACATTACTGCTGCTACTATGCCCTGGCACCAGCTACCGCTCTCTGGCCGGTCAGCCTCTCTAAATCAGACAAGCACTCTGTACCACCCAAAGCGTGCAGCTGGAAGTGAATATTAGTTTGAAAACAGAGCATGAATGCCGTTCTTTGTTGGCACTGAACTCCTCTGATGAAACATTTATAGTGACAAAGGCACGTTATTCTGTTGCTACCCAAGATATATGGAACAGCTATAAAAAGCAGATTCGAATCACACAGTGTTTCCACGATGCATCCTTGAGAGACATTCCTTAGTGTGAGCACTTTAATGAGTGATGCTTTGCTTATTCTTTAATGGTGAGGGACCTTATTACTTACATTTTCTAGAGTTGAGAAAAAGCTCATATGCCTGAAAATTTGGTTGTTGTCTTCAACTACTTTTGTTGTCTTCAGCTTCAAAATTAGTCTAACAAAATATATTACTCTTAAATGTATCTGACATCAAAGACAGTTATCATTTGTGTTCTTTAAAATGAGCTGAAGTTCACTGTATGAACCGAAATGCAAATTAAAGGGGCTGGGAAGAAAAGCCTGGTTTGTTCCACAGAAGAAGAGTCGGCAATGGGGAGAATCATCCCTGAAGAAGAGTCAGCAATGGGGAAAATCATCCCTGAAGAAGAGTCAGCAATGGGGAGGATCATCCCTGAAGAAGAGTCAGCAATGATCATCCCTGAAGAAGAGTCAGCAATGGGGAGGATCATCCCTGAAGAAGAGTCAGCAATGGGGAGAATCATCCCTGAAGAAGAGTCAGCAATGGGGAGAATCATCCCTGAAGAAGAGTCAGCAATGATCATCCCTGAAGAAGAGTCAGCAATGGGGAGGATCATCCCTGAAGAAGAGTCAGCAATGGGGAAGAGGAGAGAGAGGAAAACTCTTGGACCGTCTAAATCCAGGCTCCTGGGTCTAGCAGAAGAGAGGAGAGCACCCTACGCACCCGTGCACGGCGGATTTTGGCGCCGGCACTGTGCCCTCGGGGGGGGCCCCCCCTGCCTCGGGGGGTCCCCGGGGACACACGCCAGCCCAGCTCACCTGGCAGCGTTCAGAAGGGAAGTTAATCCAGTTCTCTGCATCAAGGACGTCACTAAAAAGCATTTTCGCTGTTACTCTATTGAACCTAGGCTGGTTCGTGGGAGGGTCACTCCTGATTCAGCCACGGGTGAAGGCCCAGGACGGGGTGGGCAGAGCTGGGAAGGCAGGCTGATCACTGAACCCCCGCGGACATTTCCGAGAGTCGCGCTTACAGAGAAGTAAAAAAACTGGTTTTAGGCGGGCCAGGCTCTGCACGTGCACGGTGACTGCTGGTTCACGTGGAAAGCGGCACGGCGAATCCGCTCGGGAAACACGTGTGCCCCCAACACCCACCTCGCTGCGTATCGCCCTGTGCCCTCAGCCACCACACACACCCCGACAGCTCCTGCAGGAAACCCCCGCCAAACACGCACACCTGGAACCTCCACTGGCACAGTATGTCTTTCAAAACATGGATCCTAAACACTGTACGGCTACGCTACAGACTTCCTAAATAAGGGTGCTTTTCAATAAAGCAGAAGAAATTGTCAATACAATAGAAAACAGACCATGATATAAGGCAATGATCAGCACGCAACCTAACCTTTAAAAAAAAAAAAAATTGAAATTCATTGTGATGCTCAGTGCAGACAATACTGACAGCTATGTCAACTCAGTAAGTAGGAGTACACATCTGGATGACTTTTTTTAACTCCCTGTTGAAGTAACGGACCAAGACCCTCGTTATCATTAAGCACGTGAAGTGAAAATTTTCTCCTGTGCTGAATAAAAGTGAAGAGAAAAAACAACAGTGCCCTGCCCCTCCAGCCACATCCTCTTGTTTGAGTGGTATCCCAAAGTCATGCCACTGAAAGGGAACAGCAACACACAAGGAATGAGAGCTCCAAGAATGGAATTCATATGGATAATCTGTGGGGAAAAAAAGAAAATAAAGAAAAAAATCTGCAACAAAACAAAACAAAAATAAAAAAAAAAAATCTTATACATGTTTTGGTCTCCATCTCGAGAGTATACAGTTCATGCTGAACTGGTTAGTTGGTCCCTGTCCTCTAGTAATATATGAACTTAGAAGAACAAACCTAGCTGGAATTCAGCGGAATAAAAGCCAACTTATATCCCCCTAAAATAAACAGGGTTTGGAAGCTGCGGCAAGAGATCAAGAGTCGATCACCGGACAAGAGATTAAAATGATTTTGTTGGGTCAGGACAAGAAAAAGGAGCTGAAAAAAATGAGAAGGCAGGAGCATGCAGAACTAGTGAAATAAAAAAACCCTCATGTTTGAGCGCAGAGTGGACAGCGCTTCACCTCCAGGCTGTGAGAGGGAGCACATCTGGATTTCCATCCGCCACTCTGGAAGCCTGAATCCTATCAGCACATGGCTAGCGTCCACATTCCCTGCTTCAGGCTCTTTATCTCGCCGGCACGACGTGCACTACGCTCCCTCCTCGCTGGTGCTCAGCTGCTGCAGCTTGCTGTCCCTTCAGCAAATCACCAGAAGGAGACGGGGGCTGCTCAGTACTGCAGCTTCAGTTCTCAGAGAGAGGATGGAAGCGGGTGTGGGCACACAGACCGGTGCTGACACAGCAACTGGGTCTGGGATCCCGAGGACTAAAGCAGGTGAACCGCTAGAGATGAAGCCAAGTCAGGAAAAATACTCATTTTAGCTAGCACTCCTTTTCTAACCAGTGCTGAACAGCTGCCTTCCTCCTTTCTTCCTTTTGCTTTTCATCCTTCATTAAGAACTACTTCCATCAGTGGAAGGAGATTCCATACGTGTTTGTCAAGTACAGAAAGACACAAAAGACAGACAAAGAGCAACACATACTTTCACACCCACGCCACGTCCCTGCACAGAGACGAGCTGATCCAGTTCCCAGCTGCTGGAGGTTTCACTCTCATCCCCAGTGACAGCAAACACTGAAGGGAACACTGACACTGTCACCATCGGCTGCTCTTCATGGAAAGGTGGTGCTGTTCCACAACAATAACGTGTTCTTGAAAAGAAGAAATCTTACCTCAGCAGACTCTCCATTGGGTGACAAGGTACAGGTCAAGGTATGCTCACCCATGTTATACGGATATTGCTTCAGGAAGCTGTACATGGATTGGGCTGATTTGGGACTATCCAGCTGCAGAATTGCCTAAAAGGAAGAAAACCGCAAGCTTCAAATAACTGTTACTTCCTCTTATTTCTGTATTGCAAAAGAAGCTTCATAAATTAAGTTGGTGTAGCATGTGATATCTAATATTCCTGAAAAGTTGCAGTATGTTCATTTTAAATAAGGTATAAGCAGCATTTCTGGATTAAATCCTATGTTCCAAAGAGAGAGAACAGCGGACTCTGCTTTCTGAGAGGCTGAAGAAAGGAATCTCCCCTGTTTGGATTTATCTTTAGAACTGAATAAGTAACGTCATCACAAAACAGTGGAGCCTGGAGCTTCCCTACCCACATGCGCCCAACCTTCTGGCTTTTGGACACGCTCAGCTTTGATTCTGCTGTAACTCACGAATATCTTCCCATGAGGGCGAGGGGAACTACATGCCCACAAAAAAAAAAAAAAAATGCAAGCTTACATCTATCAAGGAAACAGTGAAAGGAACTACACACAAACGTTTATCTGCTGTACCAGAAATCTCTCCCTTCTTTACCTTTTAGCTAACAAGTAAAATAAGACAAGTTTTGTAAGTCACCTTTAAAATTTTCCAGCTATTCAAGTTGTGTCCTAAAGCAGATAATTAACTCTATTGCTCCTCTCTCTTCCCCCCGCCCCCATTCTACTTGAAGCCAGTCTTAAAACATGTCACCCTCCTTTTTTCTTTTTCCTTAAAAGAACACCTCTGCCCTTCTGGGATCTTTACAACTCTGGCTATTGAACACAGATCAGAAAGTATTTGGTGGAACAATTCTCCAGCGCAAAGTGCTGATTCAGTGGAGTTAAAGCATCTGACGCTCAATTCTATAACATTCTTTGAAGGTCTAGAAATCAGCCCTAGGATGCTTTACTGACTAGGGAGCTCTCCCTATTGCATTTGAAAATTTTAAAAAAGCAGATTCAGTTTCAAAAAAGAAAAATACTATCTTCTTCTGAAAAAGAGCTTTACCTGTTTTATGGTTTATTAGCAGATGGACACTTAAAACAGCTGATAACAATGGGAACACAATTGCTCTTTAATTGTTAAAATAAATAAACATATATCGTAAATTAAATCTAGTTCATAAAAATCCAATCGTAAGTGCAAAAATAGCAGCATTAAAAATTAAACAAAATTTTTTTAAATTTACAATCTAGTCACTACATTCCAAAGTATCCCGAAACAAAAGCAATTATAGCAATTCTGACATTTTCACTTCTCATATCAAAATTATTTTTTCTCCCCCCAAGCTTCCTACAAAACGGGAACTCATTTTCCCCCCCAGTTACAACTCTAACATCAAAGGTTAATGCCTTTTCCAGCCATTTGGGAAGCTTTACTTTCAGAGCTTACCGAACTGCTCCTCTATTGTTCAGGATTTATAAAAGCCTGCAGTTTGTTTTGGCTGGTTGGTTCGTTTACTTCCCCACTGCCCTCAACAAGTAAGACAAACTAGTTCCTCGTTCAGGCTGAGTGGGAAAGAGTCCGAAACTTTGATCTCTCATTCTTGGCATTGGGAGATGAAAAACCCACCTTTTTTACAATTTTTGTTCGCTAACATTGTCCTTTGCACCATAGAAAAAGAAAGTACTTACCTTGTTTTTATTCTTCAGCACAACATAATGATCTACTTTCCCAAATCGAAGTCCCACACAAACTGCTTCAAGTTCTCTGTATCCATCATCTGGCAAGTTCCCGAGATGCACAAACTGATTGTGAACAGTTTCAGTATTTACCTACAGAAAATCGGTGACAAAACTTGCGTTAACTTTATAACATACTTTATGAGCGACTACTGAACTAGGTTAGGAAAGCCCCACAGAAGGCACCTGTACCACTCCGCTCTTACTGAAAAAGAGCACTCGCATCCATTTGATGCTCCCACTTTCAGATTCACATCAGATTTTTCATTTTTCTATGCAGCACATCAAAAGAACCAGCTGTACTTCCCAGCCAAGAGTAACTAGCTTAAAGGATCAAGTTGAGTGTTTTATTTTAAATTATCTTTTTATTTTTTTAACTAGCAAAAGTCTCTTTAAGGAACACTGCAAAATATGCCTGAAGTAAAATTTGGTATTTTTAAAAGCAGACATTATCTAGCCAGATTATAAATCGGTCAAGTCACAGAAACCCATCCAAAAGACTCCAATGCTGGTTTTCAAGTCGGAGTTTGGTTTTACTCGATCAGTTTGCAATAACACAAGGATCCTTGGTTAAATGTAATTTCTTGCGTTTCTCCATTTTCAGCCCGGTATCGCCGCCCCGGGCACAGGCTACCGAGGAGCCCAGCAAGTCCCTGGTGCCCAGGTGGGCTTCTGGTGCAGCTCGCACCAGCGTGCTGGCGGCGGACGGAACGCCGGCACCAGGAGCCACGGGCTGAACCCTGGCGCCAGGGACCCACGCAGGAGCCAGGGGAAGGGCCCTGGGACACCAAGTCCACGGGCGCCGTACACTGCTGAGGTCTTAAACAAGCCTCGCCTTTAACTGCTTGGAAGCTGCGTGCCATTTATAAAACACACCACTCACTCCCCTCTCAAGCAAGAAAATTTTTCCCTGCCCCTCCAGGCCTGCTGTGTTTTCCTTCCATTGTTCATCACTTTACCAGGAGCAGAAAAGAAATATTTCACCACAAGCAGATCAGAAGCACAAGTGGGATATGGCAGCAGGGGCGTTGGCAGTCAAGCACTCAGATGTCTCCGTTAGTGCCAAACAAGGATCGTAAGGATAAAGCAGATATCCCCCAGACACATTTGCAATTGAAAATTCCAGCCTTTTGGGGTTTCCTGGAGAGTGATTTACTGTCGGCAGCGATCCGTGCAATGTGCTTTTTAACCAAACACGATTGGCTTCTGACACTGCTGTTCTTAAAGTCACCCTGGTGAAGTGCTCGTGCCAACTGGCTAAGCCCAGAGACACACGCTCACACCCAGTGACCGACCTTCTATCAAGAACATCCTGAAAATGTTTTTCACAGAAGACTTAAAAGCTGTAATGTCATTAACCTCTACCTACCTACACTAAAAACGCTTTGTACATCAACTGCCAGCTTGCACTGCGTACAGTGAAAAAACAGGAGGGACAAGAAGGGAGACACACCACACCAAACAAAGCACAGAGGTAGTTTTGATACTTAAACCAAAATATCTGGCTACAAAGCACACTGGGAAAACGGGCGGCGTTACGTACAGGCAACCACTGCGTATTCTCCAAGCTACAGGGGTCAGCAGCTTGTGGTTAGAACATTAAAACAGCGGCACAGGAGGAGAGGGTCTCAAAGGACTCCTGCTAAATGTTTAATTCCTTGCACTTCAAGCATCATGCAGCTAATGCACGGGGTACTCATTCTCCTCCCGGCTCACTCGCCCATGAAAACATACAGAAACATTTAATTCTGGAGAAAGACTGGATAACGATTCAATCAGCTAATATTTCAGTGTGAAGGATACTAATTCCAAGCTAAAGTAAGATATTTTGATAGCATGTAGAGGAAAAGTTAGATTGCTAGCAACTTACCTTAGGGTCAGAATCTTTAATTATAGCAGTAAATATTGCTTCCTTTAGGGAGGAAAAAAAAAAAAAAAAAAAAAAAGACATTGTAAGATTTGAACTGTAAAATATAATTTCACTAGCAGCAGCTAACTGGCAGTCACTGACTCCCAACAACTTCTTAGTTTCTGCTTTATTAATAAAATGAGCAGCATCAGCACTTCTGACAGCTGCATTATTCTCGTATCAGAAGTCCAGGAACCAAAAAGACATTTAACAGAATCAGTCTGCAATAGGACACACCATCGGAATGTACAGAACAGGCAGTGTATAAAAACCAGCTCAAATACCCAATCCTGTTCTGTAATGAAATATTAGCATATATCCAAGAATTTCAATATATTTTATTACTTACTTCATCTTTTATAGACTTATACTGAGGCACCATGTTGATGCTGAGCTGATTTCCATCCAGTGACATTGGAAAGCAGGTGTAAAATTTAACCATGGAATCTGCGGATTTTCTATTTATTTCAAGATATGCCTTTTAAAATAAAGAAAGCAAAAAAAATATTTTTTTTCAAATTTTAATTCATCAAAAGCAACTCACATCAATGCTTTCCACACTACATTATCACATTTGCATTTGTTGAAAACACATTTGCTGCTTCTCTAGGTAGAAACACTAATAAATACCCATCAGAATACCTTTTTATGAGATGATAAAATTAGCACATCCCTCAGTCCTCCAAATGGCTTTGCTAGGTTGGAAACCTCCTCGACAGAATATCCTTTCTCAGGCAAGTTGGAAATAAGAACCACACATATATCATCAGGTTCCTGTAATCAAACGGAAGTAAACATTACTGATACTCCTTGAACTCTAAATCAAAACTGCTATATTACTGAAGGGAGCGTTTATTTTTACTATGTGAACCCACCATTAAACTGAATGAAGCGCTTGCTTAAAAGCATGTTATAATACCTGCAATTAACCCACAACCAAAGATCATTCAAACCATCTTAGGATCTGGTAGAAAAGCATATTAAACATTTTTTTACCCCCTTTCTCTAATGACGTCATGAAATCACCTTAGCCACTTCTTAACTGCGGATGCATCCGTATCGAAGCTAATCCTGCACAAACCTTGGGTTGTCTCACGCGAACTCAAAAATTCAAACCAAACCAGAACTCCCCATAATTATGCCACTACTTGCTATCCGTGACGTGCCCACACGTCAAATACTGCAGGACTGTATGTGCAAATACTGCACCTAAAGGGAAGAAACCCACAGCAGGGCAATACAGATGATCAGCGCGTAAAGGAGCTTTGGTGTAACTAACAAACTCCCAGGAAAAAATAAAAAGTCAGAGAGTGAAATGGTGGATGTGCATCAAATCACAAGCAGCAAGGATAAAATAAACCATTCACTGTTTCTCACAAGAAATTAACAGAGGTTTTCAGACAGCACACCACCATAGCACCAAGTCCGTGCTTCCAAGTTCCACCGATTCAATCACCACTAGACTGACCTTGCTAGCTGGTTCTGTTGATTCTTCGCTCTTTGTAGTTGTTATCGTAGCTTCTAAAAAAAAAAAGGGGCAGGGGATTAGTTTAGGCAGTGGTTCAGCAGATTTCTGAAGAGCTCTAAGAGCTTCCTGCATTACATTTTAGCACCACTGCCACTGTGAAAAATGAAATATTCTTTCATTTAACTTACAACAACAGATGACACTGGTGAGACACGGTGTTACGTAAATGTTTCCAGAAAGAAGAGTTTTAAGCAGGGGTAAAAAAAATAATTTAAATCCTTTGATCAGCACACACACGTTTTGCTGACATTGAGACCTTATCAGCTGAATAATCACAACCAGGAGACTTTCTTGTGGGCACACAGGGACTATGCAGGTGCCCAGAATGTGCCCACACAATCTTTTTCCTTTTTTTTCCTGGAACAAGTCCACAGTAGTATGGTGAGAGGCTCCAAAAAATACAGACAGCAGGACACAGGAAACCACCAATCATACAGGAGAGGCAAGCACAGGTAAAGGAGAATCACTTCTACTGCAAAAATATTTGTATCCAATTCTAACACGTTCAGCAACTACGACCTTGCCCTATCTCCACTGTCACGTGCAGAGCAACTGAAAATTCATAGACACGTAGGCTACGTTTAAAACAAAGTCTGTTATTAATCAGTTATAAGATGAGAGAAAATAGCAGCTATTGAAGCAGCTCTGGCAGGCAATGAGATTAAAAGAATTAGTGGTGGAGCTGTAAACAGAACATACAGAAAGCCTGAACTCCTTGCTCTAATAAGCTGTAAATAAAAGTTCCCTGTGTCACACTGAAAAGGTCTAGGGAAAAATATTATGCCCATTGAAAGATGTAAATCTTAGAGGTTTTTGGCCACTTCAGTCATCAGAGTAAATTTGTTTTACGTTTCAGTCAGTGAATCTATTCTAATAGATTTTCTTTTCTCATTTCCTGTGTCATCTTAATTTCCTGGCCTCAAAGGCATTCTTATTTAGTTCACAATAACAAAGAGGTTTAGAACAGAAATGAGAAAACCCCATCAGTTTGCAATTTACCTTGATCAACTGGAGCTTCATTAACCTTATCCAAGTCCAACTCCGCCACCTGAGGCATCTGCGCTAGTTTCTCTAAAAAAATAAACAAATTCAAGAAGACATCACAATGTTAAACTTCACGTAACTTACAACTAGCAAAGTAACTCAAAAATTGCATTATTGTATCCAAATTACCTAGTCCAGGTGCGGGATTAGTCACCCCTTTGGCCTGAGTCTCTGCTGTCTTCACAGGCTCTGGAACACTGCCCTCTTCCGTGATGTTCTTTGGGTCTGACAGCTTGGTTTCCCCAACTTCCATTTCAGCTTCTGCTGAGAGCTGAAGGTCTTCATCTGTAGATTTTGCTGGTAGGCAACAGCAGAAAAAAGCATTCCTCGTCTCAATATATTAAACTTATTGATTTGCAAAAGAAGAATGAACTGCACTATACATTTTTGGTCAGATATTCAGAAGCCTCCCATCGCAGAAATTCCTGCTCCTCGTTACAAATGGGCAGAAAACGTACACAGAGGAAAAGCTCTGCGAAGCAAGTGCACGCCTGACGTTACGTGAAAGGGTCTGCTTCCCCAAACTCACCTCCTCTCCCCGGTCCTTTGCTATTCTAGATCTACAACCAGCGCTAATCACCACCGCCTTAGCCAGGCCACAAGGCGCAGGAAGGGCGCTTGCCTATCCAACCATCTACAGCATTGGCAAGGCCAGTAACAGGTGTGAAAAGCTTGGACTGATCGCCTTAAATACCTGGTCTGGAAAGGGGGGAAGCCAGGGGGATGGAAAATCACTGCCTGTGTTTTCTAAGTAAAAAGTTCTCCTTTGTCTTACCCGCAGTTTTTGAAGTTTTCTTGATTTTACTATCTCCTGTCATTGTCGATTTCTTAGTCCTTTCTTTTTTACCTACGTAAAATATCCAAAACCAAGTCAGTCAGTAGAAATGCTTATTTCTTAACTGTTACATTTGTGAAGTAAGAGAATAAAAATACATACGAAAATAGTTTAAGCTGCAGCAATTCAACTGATAGGACAAAAAAAAAAAAAAAAAAAAAAAAAAAAACACCAAAAAACTAAAACTCGAGTTAATTCCAACAAACTCCTGAATGAAAGGTATGAAGTAGAGTATCTTTCATTTAGGATTCTGGTGAATCCTTGCTCCTGTAAAAAGGTTCGTGTTCTCTTTCTCTTAACTGACAGAAAACAATTCACGGTTCCCACCTGTGAGACAGCTCTGAGCCACACTGCTACAGGAATCGTAATTCCATTCTGGAAGCTGGATTCAGAAGTGACCACGCTGACGAATGAATCAAGACTAATACATCTTTAAAAAGCACAATTTCCCATCTAAATAATGTCGGGTTCCTTACTTTGCTCAGAAAAATTGCTCGTGAAAGCCAATAAAAACAAGCAACAAAAAATGGTTGTTATTACAAAAATTTGGTATTGTTAAGACACTGGAAAAGTTTCACTGGCTTTTGATGTATTTACTGCAGCTTGTCTTGTTTTCACTGAAGCACTAAAAAAAGAAAAAAGGTCTTCTCTAAGAGCATGACATGTAAGATTTTCTGCCAGATCAATTAATAATAATAACCGAAATCATTTCTGTCCGGATCAGTAGAAGACCAGGGCAGAAATTTAAAAGCATTTGGAACGTACACAAACAAAAGACACTGGGAAGCACTGGCACTAACTGCGAAAGAGAATGTTAGCTAAGTTATACATCAGGCTTAAAGTCAACTTGAAGAATTCCACTTATTTTACGGAGCCCAAAGTGCCACACTTCCCTTCAACAGTCGGGGTAAACGTTTAAAATTACAGAGCAGAAGCACAGGTCAAGGCCGGGGTTTTTTATTGCTACTTGAGGGTTGGGGTTTGTGGGGTTTTTTAAAGAAAGATAGGGGCACATGAAAAGGAAGACATCTGAAAGTATAAACCAGGCGCTTTCTTGCAGCTCTCTGAACTTGCCTTCAGTCGCTATTAAGAAAAGCGCTCACGTAAAAACAAAGAAATGGGAACAAAGAGGAAAGGCAGTAACAGAGGTATCATCAGATAAAAGGTAAGCGAAACTTTACCTGTAATGGATTTAGTTCTCTTAGTGGTGGTGTTCTGATCTTTTCTATTATGAGCAGGTAGGGAAAAAAAAAATAAAGAAAAATCAGGTTTCAGAGACAACTGATGAATATCAAAACAGCTAAAAAAGCTCAAAACCAGTAAAATCACAAGAAACCAAACAGGTATGAACCCATTTGGCTTGCCTCGGTTATCACTGACATATGTGATGGCAACACTTACTTCGTACTTGGTGCGACTTTTTTAATATTCTGAGCTCGTTTTCTGATAGTCATTTTGGCCTGAAATGGACAGAAAGAAGAATTTTCACTGCATAATTTACACTTTATGTACCAATGTGTGTGCGTATAATAGTGTTAATTACGTAGATGTAGTAATATAGGGGCTATCTTTCGCTGTTTGTTAAACTGATCCTATTCACAAATATCAAACTCAACCCAGAAAAATGGAAAACTGGAATTAGGAAGTGTGTTTTCGTATTTATTTTAGACTGCCGTTTATGAAAAGGAAATTTATAAAGGTATTAAAACTACTAAATCTATTTTCCCGGAGCACATCAGCTTTTAGAGCAAAACATCACGCTACCCACCAAGCATCCTGCTGTTCACGCCAGGCCGCTTACCTGACCAGGAGATGATTTTGGCTTCTCTGCTACACTTATTTTCACCCGTTTTCCATTTACCAGCACTGGCACAGTTTCACCATATTTCACAGCTGCTATCACTGCTTCTTTGTAGTTCATTTCCAAGAAAGCCTAAAATATAAATGGCACTTTCAGTCTTTACTTGTATTATTTGTATTACAGACACAAGATACAATTCACTGCAATTTTGCCTTAGAAAAATCTGCTCGCGACAGAACTGCGTAAGTTCACGTGGAGCTTGATGAAAAAGTCTGGATTTCAATAGTCTACAAAAGACACGCTACTTTCTCTAACATTTACAACTTAGGTAGCAAGCAAGGCTGAATTTACCAAGCTAACACTTCCACCTATTCCAAGATTTTGTATGTCATCTTTAGTGACAAAGCGTCCACGAGGCCTTATCCTATGTTCAGCTGACGATCCAAATACTACACTTCCTTATTGCCTGACAATCTTTTTTTGCATTCTGACACAAAAACATTCCATAGGAAAACTTACCTCATTTCTAGAGCGAAGTACAATGAGATCACTAACTTTGCCAAACGGCTGAACAATTTTTTTAATATCTTGATCTGAAAAGCCATCATCCGGTAAATCAGATATTTGAAGGACTGTCCCACAACTCAGCAATTCCTCTCTCAACAGCTACAAATTGAAAACAGAACAAAAACAAACACTTTGCAAGTACAAGTAAAAGGAAGAAAAAGGGATCTGCGATCAAAATTACTCCAACGTAAACAGACTGCTCAGTTCACTGTGACATTTTGAGTTTTTTGCCTTTTAACACAAGGACAGAGCCACAACCTTGTTGTTCTGCTACTCTGTCTCAATCTACAGTTATGAGAAGACATAGCACAGGATTACAAAGTAACACAACACAACCTCTTTGTTTTTATCAAGTACTATAGTTCTACATAATTCCAACTGTCTGGGCTGTTTGGGGAAGCAGCTGCACAATTCCACTACTTTCCTCTCCATGATATTACTGTTAGCTTTCAGCAGCACCAGGCAATGTTCTCTTTGTTTATCACTTAGAGGCTGGAAAACCACCAAGGATGACTGCATCTACCATAACTAAAATACAATCTGCTTTATAGGTGGTGTTTCTAAGAGATCCAAATGGTTGGTATGACGGACTGCGACAACACCGGCTTAAGTTCCTCCCCACAACAGTAGCAAAATTCTCTGCCTCATCTTTTTTGCTTCACAGGGCAAAATGAGCACCTTCCACCTCCAGTCCTTTACTTTTCTTTATACAAGAAGCTCCTCCAAACAGTGCTCATCCCTCACGCTTCATCCCAACAAGTGCCCAGTAGAACAAGGACCCAAATTTATTGGACATTTCTTTCTGCTGTTGGAAAGCACGAGAGAGGCTTTGCTTCACACATTGAAAACCCCTTGCTGTGTGAATTACCACACTTACCTGCAGCCAACAAATCTTTGCATTAAGACGGCCGGATCTATCGCATAGAATCAGCAGAATGGTTCATCTTCCCACAAGGGATCCCCCCCTGAAATAAGACACTAACCACATTCTTAAGATCACAGAGAAGAATGTTCAGAAACTCACCCTATTATAAGAAGTAGGACGAGGTCCACTGGTTCCTGTGGGTAAGTCTTCCTCATCCTCTTCCATTTCTTTGCTTTGGGGTAAATCATCAGCTTCAGGAGATGACGAGCTTGATCCAGGCAAAGACGGCACGTCCTTCTTTGAAGACTTTGGAGAAACACTTGTTTTCAGCGGCTTCTTCGCATTGCCAGGCATCTTCCTTAAGAGCCCATGAGAGGGTGACTTTCCCGATCCCGAAGATCCTTGCCCAGCTGCTTGAAGGGACTTATGTTTATTGAACTCTGCTACAAAGCCAGGTCCCAAACTTTTCACTACCGCCTCCAGAGCTGCCTTTCTGTCTGTGAGCGGCAGGGAAAACAAACCAGGGTTCGTTTGTTTGTTTTTACAAGAAAACTTACATACATGGCTGTGTGGTTTGCTACAGTTTCACCTCCCACTCCTGATTCAATCTGGGGACTCAATGAAGTTAGAGAACCTCACTCAGACTTCAGCAGAAAGGGCCAATAAATAATAATAAACCTCTGGACTACTTTCACTGTGCTGTTTTAAACTGACAGTGTGACATCAGCACTGATATCTACAGAAATCCTAATGGCTGGAGCAAAAGAACGATTGCTTAACTGGATATGTCAGGGAACCTAAGAAAAGAAAAGATGTTTTCAAGACTTTGATCTTCCTCTCACACACAGATGCCCAGCAGTACTTACTATCTGGGTGCCTTCTGCTAAACTCTGTATCCTTCTTTGTCTTGTTCTTAGTCCTACAGCCTGTTGGTTTAAATTATTCTTTAACAATGTGATACAACATTAATTTCCTATATGCTTTCCTTCTGTGGAAAATTTGTATTTTGGTTATTGACTGCTTCTTCCACTCATTCTTCTCCCTTACTTGCATTTTACCCTGAGGAAGATCTCGTTGAAACTGCCTGTCCCTGCACAACTTTTCACCTAGACTGCTTTCCCACGAGTGCTCAGTACATCTTCATTTTCTGAAGGCATCCAAACCACATAGCCACAGTATATAGATGGGAAAAAAAAATAATAAATAAATAAATCCACCTGCTAAAATTCCTCTATTTTTTTCTCTTCAGAATTTAAAAAGAAACAAAAACTCCAAACAATCTGGTATTTCAGCCAGAGACTGAGCTCAAAATGAGCGACACCCAGCTGACTGAGTTTGCATAAAACTTCCTAGAACTGCAAACCAGAGGAAGTAAGCTGAACGGCGAGTCACAAAATGGTGCGATGAACTTAACTGTTAAAAGGATGTTTCACTGAAAGTCCTTCATGTACCACACTTTCCTCTCAACAAAACTAGTTCAGAACACCGTGCTTTCCTTGTAAGTCACACCTCCATTCAATCCCATCTCCGAGCATCACATTTTCTTTCTCCTCCTCTATACCGCCTTCGCAGAACTACTTTTTTTAATGCAGAAGGAAGAACCACCTTCGGCTGTTTTCAATTCTTGACTATCCTTACTCGCTTAAAAACTGAGCACACTTGGAGCAGACACTTGTGCAGCATTTATTTCGCATGATTAACCAATCCCCAACACTAGGTAGGAAGCCTTCAGACCTTCGAGAATGCCCATTTTCTTCTAAGCATACTTCACACAGAGCAACAGCACAAGGAAAAGTTGTTTCCCAAACCAGACTTTTGCTACGAAAAATGCCTAGGGGACTCCTGGAGGGATAAACGAAGACAGTGCTCCTGACATCAAAGGAAGTTTCAACCCGGCAGCACGTATCCACCCTTTACCTTGAGATCGGGTTGACCTCCTTGACGACCAATCATTACTGGACGATCTCGGAGGTCGTGGACTCGTTCTCAGGGGATTCCTCGACCGCTGCGGTGACCTTGACCTGTGCCTGGGGCTGAGCCGTCGCATCTGCCGCGGGCTTCGACTTCTCGGCCTCGTTGGCCTGAAGCGGCCAGGGCTCCTGGACCGCGACCGCGACCGGCGCAGAACGTAGCTGGAGCCCGTGACCCTCGAACGTCTCGGACTGGGACTGGCAGAGTTGGAACGGCGCTTTGGGGTCTGGTTTTCTTTCCTGTCGCCGGCATTTCTAGCAGAGTAACAGCACACAGTGAGCTTTGGCAAGGCAGAAAAGAACGACCAAGCCCAGTCTGGTTTTCTGCAGAGAACCACCAAAACTGACAGAGTTTAGAGTCTAATTTGTTAACAGACGTACTACACATGCTGGTAACATGTTTGCTATACGGATTTCAGATAGGTAGACAGAACTGAAAAGCAGCAAGTAGGAAAGAACAACCCACATGGAACAAGAGAACGCTGCAAAGACAACTCTGAAGTTACAAGCTGCAGTGCTAGGAAAAAATAACAGAAAGAGGAAAAGGATACAGGGAAGAGCAATGAATTAAAATACATCCCTCGCTTCTTCAGTTTAATTTGGAGGTAAGCAACCTCAAGACACTATGTCTAAAAGACTGACTGAGACTGAAAGAGAGATCTGAGAGGACTACAGAAATATCCATCCACTGCATAGTTATGCTACCTAGGGATGATAAATTGATGAAGAATATGGCAAGACGTAATGGTGAAGAGATCCATGACAGAAATAGTTCCTCTTAGAGACAGAGAAAGTGGTCAGGCATAGGACAACCCTGACAGGACAGATCAAAGGAGTAAAAGGGAAGACCTGGAAAATGCATAAAGTATATGTTTAAATATCCCAAACATTTTTTACGAGCTTGTCACGTGGCAGGCCAGTATGCTACAGCCAAACACATGTCCAATTTTTTAGCCCACACCAAGTTCTTTGATGCCAAAGATACGCTGCACCAGCACTCAAAACCAGGTAGAGCAGACACAGCACCTTTGGGATCTGAAACTGGAAGAAGCCACTGATGCAGCAGGTCCTTCAGCTTACTCACTAGTAATTATAGTGGCAAAACTAACAGAAACACAGGTGAATACCTGAGATGGCACGTATGCCCAGTACGACTAGACTTACTGAGAAGACTGTATGCTGGACAACTAAAATACGCAAGTCTCTCAACGCAACATGGCAGAGAAGTTCACACGTCAACTAAAAAGCATCTAAGTTTGTTAAAAGTAAGCCAGAGCACCAGCACTTAATGAATCCCCACGTCAAGCCCTAATATTACTGTTTAAGACTCCGAATAGCCAAAGTTCCCCTGAGACGAAATAAGTTGAGGAGAGAGGACTGACAGCTGGCAGACAGGAGAGGGGGATGACAAGCAACTGAGGCAGCTGCTGCCCGACCTTTTTGGCCAGCAGCTAGGTGAGGACACAACCCTCAGGTCTCCTAAATGATGCACCAATGTCTCACAGTGTTACTTAATTCGCAAGTTTCAAACATCATTAAAAATCCATGTAAATCCCATTATTCCTGCGCCCAAGGAAAATGCTTGAATATATGAAGAAACCAGTGCAATTTCTAAAAAAGCAGAGACAGTGACGTGATTTACCAGGGTGGTAAGAGTACCGAGCAAGCTCATGGACCTGGTCCCAAGACTGCACCCCGAGCTCTGGCCATCTGCGGTCCGCGGGAGCCTACAGCTGTGTTCTAACCCTCCCAGCTGGAGACGTGCTGTCAGCAGGAAGGATTTAAAAAAGCACCACCCTGAAAGACAACTCTTGCCCCACCTGCAAGTACAGAAGATCCCTCGCTCACAAAAAGTGCTATTCAACATTTCCCTGGTTTATTAAGATCCTCCAGCTAAGAGCTGTTTTCTTTACCTGGGTTGTATACAGCATCCACAGCACTCAACAGCAATTTCAGTTTGAGGTTTTAAAATACAATTATTCTCCTCATGAAACTTTCATGAAAGCTTATTTGCTTTATTTCTCTCTTTAAAGTTTTATTTCTCCTTGTTCATAACATGGAGAGACCTCAGATGCACTTTGCAAATTAACCTGACCTACATATTCAGCTCTGTAACTCTTTTTTTTTTTTTTTTAAAAAAAAAAACTGAATAGTTAGCTTCCCAGGAGGAATGTCAAACTAATTAATGCAGAGTCACAGGAAAACCCAGTACAAATTAAAGTCCTACCATTCCAATTTGTATGCAAGTTGAAATACATACAAATACGGAACCAGTAAAGTAATTCAATCTTGCTGAGATCCAAGTACAAACGGTCCACAGGGTGCATTTTTAAAAAAACTAATAGTAAACAACATCATTTTAAAGGACAGAAGAGACATGAGTTCATGAATTCCAGGGTTTTCTCAACTTGTGATCACGTAACTCCTCAAGGGATCTATGGACTGAAGAATCTGTGAAATAAGAGCTAACACTAGCACGCCTACTGACAAATGGGCTTCAAGCTGCAAACACGAGTGGCTTAACTGGAAAAAAGATTAAGTCCAAAAGTCAGAGATCACTCACACAGTTTCATCAGTGATCTAACACTGGTCAGTCTCGCTCGGTTACTATTCTATCACATCCAACAATCTACGAGTAACTGAAGCACGGTTAGAAGAAAGGTTCAAGACGAGGCTGCTAACAATATCAGTCTTCAGACATTTCTACAGTTTACTCTCATCCTTGTGAAAGAATTATAGATATTACGCCACTTATTAAACGAGCTTAGGACAAAACCCACAAAAGCAACCCACACGATTTTGTAACGAAAATGTGACACCACTAATAGAGCTTGCCAGTGAGCAAAACAGCAAAATTAACTGCATTTATAATAGCAACAAATTAAAAACAACCTGTAATCAAAAAGCAGTTACCTCTTTGAGGAATGAGCCTCAGGGTTCCAGTCGGGGTATCTGTTAAATGTTAAAAATACAACCGTTGGTGAAGAAGCCAAATTTGCCATCTGACCACAATTCCTGCTTACATGCAGTAGCTTTTACAGACAAACGTTCCTGTTCAGGACTCCAGAAGCACCAAGTGCCAGTCCATCTTTCACCCTAACAGTCCAAAGCCAGTTTGAAATAGCTGGCAGATACCGACACTCCTCACGAAGGAAACGTGACACACTTTCACAGACTACGTGCATGCACAGCAAACACTTTTGACACTAAGTGAACTTTGTAAACAAATTTCTTACTGTTGACGTAACTGGCGGCAGCTTTCGATGTGAGAAGGCGTGTTCTGGTGCAGAATCCAGTCCTATTGGGAGAAAAGACATCCAGAGAAGTTTGATTAGCATGTAAACCGTTAGCCTTTGACTGCAATTTCTAGTTATGTGTTCTCATATTTTACCTTCCATAAAATTTTACCTAACAAACCATCTTATGTCAAGGTCAAATTTCTCACTTAAAATTATTACCCTTTATACGAAAGACTAAATTACTCATTGATTATCAAAAGCTATTAAAGAAACACAAAGGAATCTAAGTGGAAGTTGAACAAAACGTGTCAAATTAAATGAATCTGTTCCTTCCAGCACCACGCTGGGCTGCTGTCACCGCACTTCCACCCCAAAAGGTTGACCCAACAGCTGGCTATATTAAAAGAAAGAAAACTATCAGCAGTCTTCACAGACTGCCAGACTGATAAACACACACAGAGCAAATTACTCTGAATCAGAGAACCTGACACAACATGGTATCTGTAAGTCAAAACAATTTCTACAGAGGCATGACTCTTCATGCCTTAAATTCAAGAACATTCGCTCCTAATAACGTTACAGCTAAAGGTCAGTCAAAAGGTCTGATGGAATTTTTCACACATGCACTTTAACAAAAGTTTTACTTGGGAGTAACTGATGGGTTAAAGGTGAGACAAATCCAGAAGTACAATGCAAGCCCTTAACCTTGAGAAACAATTAAGCACAGGTTTAACTGTAAACACAGAATCAGTCCCCAGCACAGGAAATGATGCCTGAAGACTTTATTCTATTATTATTGTTGTTGTTATTATTATGAAAGTAAGCTGACCTGCTAGTGAAAGCAACTGCTGTAGTCAGTTTGCTATTGGGAAGAGATATTGCATGCTCTGAGGCTATAAGGTATCATGTCATCAGCGACAATTATTAATCATCCTTAATAAAACAACTTCTAGCTGCATTAGTATCTTAGAGTAGATAAAGACAGCTGAATAATGCAACTGACAGGCAAGGCTTCATAAAATAATTTGCAGTTGTGAAATTACGTATCACATTTTCTAAGCACATGCTGGGTTGTAACACAAAAGATTATAGAATGTGTAGCTGGCAGTTTCAAACCCTCTTGTTTATTGACAAAAGCGCTGAACACACTGGTTAAAAGAAAAGCTCGTGATGGTTTACTCAAAGCCTATGAGGTGGAAGAATTAACGCGACCAGAGCACAGTTAGCTTTGTGCATTTTGGCAGCACAGAGAACGTGCTGAAAACAGCTGCTCCTTGCACTTAAACTATCAGCCTATCAACACTGAAGTGGGCTACAAAGACAGCTACCCAAACTACTTATACTCCACATACAAAAACCACGTGTTTTAAAGAAATTAAAATACATTTTAAACATAACACTTCTTATCATTTCCTGAAGAAACAGACAGATTGGTTAACCAATCTCAGAAAGGCATGGAAACATTTTGCTAGCTGCGTTCATAAAAACATCCTAGCTGTTCAAATGAAGTCAGAAAAATATTACTCCGAAGATCCTTTGCATTAGTCCCACTCGCTGAACCAAAGCATATTAAGAGTTGAAAAGCAGACTGATAAAACAACTGGCAGCTGTAGAACTCCATGAACTGTGAATACACAGAACACACACACGTAAAGATCAAGCAATCCACTGTTACACACCCTTTTTCCTAATAACATACCATTACTAAGCAATCCCATTCTTAAGAATGCTATTTTTCTGTTTTCTGGAGTCTTCAAGTTAAGACAAGAAAAAGAAAAATTATTACTCCAGGGCTAAAGCAAATTAGCTTGTGGAAAGGAAAGGAAATCGGGCTTCAAGTATCCCACTTCCACAGTCCCCAGCGAAGAAAGCGCGCGCAGTGCCTGCGAGGGCCGAGGCCATTTTGCTTCCACGTGTCTTTAGCTCCCAGTCCAACAAGCACTAGCGAGACTGACAGGCCTAGAAAGAGATAGTCTCCTCCCTAACAAACACAACATTCTTCCCTTCTTCAAGTCTTCATTATGCCAATGCCCTCTTGCGTTGCATAGAATTACAGGAGTCTCGATTTAAGCACAGTCCTCCTCCGATTAATTTCTTGCCCTTCTCGGTCTTCAGAAACATTCCACTCCCTTGGCAAGTCTGTCCCCAAAGACGGCTCCTTCCCCCCCAGAGCCAGGATCCCTTCCCAGCACGAGCACTCCACCACGCCCCAGGAAGAACAACAACTTGCAGCCAGTCTCTTCCAGCAGCAGCTGCTCCGCAGCCGACACCCCGCGGGGACGAGCATCTTCATCGCTGTGTTATCCCGTCCCGTGCCACTGGAAAAACCTCCTGTGACTTGTGGATCACCACCAAAAAGGTCCCGAAGCAGAAGCTCCCAGAGCGTAATGCCTCCAGCCTCCAAATTTGCCTCTTCTGCCAATAGTAAGATAACAATAAAACACCGGGATAGGACGTGCACTTGTTTGTGCTGGTTTCACACCAAGATGTTGTGCAGAAGAACCCAGGAGTAAAAGGGAGTGGAGCCCATTGTGTCCCCTTCCTTCAGCAAAGGAATCATAAGTGTCATTCTCTGTGGAAAACAACGAGTCCCCATGACTTCACACAATTTAAAGCCCAAGAAGACATCATCCTCACTTTGAATCTGTTTAAGCTAGAAAACAAAAATTGTAATACACAGTAAATATGATCTCTCATGCTGGCACTATTACAGATCTGCTTTGTTCCAAAAGCGACATGTGTTTGCAGACAGAGAAAACAGACTTTATTATTCCAGTACATCCATCATTTCAAGTTGAAAATTAAGCTGCTCTGTAAAATATTCATGAAATGTTTCAATATGTTGGGAGCTTTGTAAATACATTTGAAAGACGACAACACTGAGGGGAGATTCCATCTAACCATGGGCAAAATTGGCACTTTTCTGTGAAAAAAATGTTGCAGGACACAAATGCACACATTTTTGAGAATACCTTCTAGATTAAGTCACCGTAGGTCAACTAATTTTCCAAATTATTTTTTTAGAGCTTAAAAAGCCCATCTTTCTCAAGTGTACCTTTTCTTATAACACAGTATGGTGTACAGCCATCCCTGACAATGCCACAAAAACCTTCCTAACACGAGAGAAAACTAAGGACAAATCTTGCACATTTCTGATGCTGCTCCAGTAACAGCGAGCTTTCAAGACCACGGTAATCACCACTTACCACAAACGCACAATATTTTAGAAAGCTAAATCATCTGTTTGAGTCGATACCTGACTGAAGGACCACAGCCAGCCACGTGTGAAGTTGCACAATTGGTTCGAGGCAGGATTCCCCCAGTTCACCTCCGAACAAATACCCAAGCAAGACCCAAGCAAGGCATCATCAAATAATCGAGGCTCTCACCACCTATTGCTAGAGATCCACTGAACGGTTTTTGAGAGGAAAAGAAATGCTGAAAAGAGTCTTTCCAAAGTTTATTGCATGAAACAGCTGAAGTATTCTTCACGTTCAGCCCCGGACTGTAGGCAGCTTACCCTGCAGCTGCTGACCTGACACGTATCACTGCACGAGGATTTTCCACCTGCCTTACAAATAAGTTTCAAAGCTTAAAAAAATATGTATTTTTCATGGGCAGACCTGCAAGAGCTATGCCCTGCAAGTGGAAGGTATTTTTATTTTTGATTTCTGAACCGTGCATGTGCAAAAAAACCCACCTTCAAATACATATAAGTAGTTCTGTAGAAGAGGTGTTCAGGAATCTTTTCAGATTATAGAAGAACTAGAAAATACATTTACTTGCTCAGCTGTGTGACACTCAGAACTCTGTGTTTTGGTATACTGCAGACATCTCAAGGCCATCTTCAGCTTTGACTTCACCAGACCTCATTAATTAAGCAACTTGGATACTTAAGAAGAAAGACCTACAGGGAGAGCTGATTAGACGCTTAGGAGAATGACAGAAGCATTTTTCACTCCAACCAAACCTCTGCCAATGTTCCACTGCGTCCATGGGAGAGCCAAGTTGAAAGAACAAGGGAGGTAGGGTTCAGATGATGCAAATAGGAAGTTCTGGCCACTAACAGTCACTGCAGCTTCAGAGAGAGACTGGCTCTCCAGGAGCAGGAGCTGGGTCTCACATCCAGCCATAATTCCGTCATTTTAATAAAAGAATGACAGGTAACACACTTCAACTCTCTTACGATAGGCAACGCAGCTTCTGCTGCAACCCTGGCAAAAAAAATGAATGCTAGATGAGTCTGGACTTCAGTACAACGCTGAGTAAAAGAATCTACAAAAAAAAGACAGCTCATCGCCATGAATAATCTGAACGTGAAATCCGTCATTTTAACCTCACCGCAACTTTGTTTTTCAGATATCCAGTATCTTCAAGCGTCAGATGAAGAGGTTTTCTCCACTCAGTACCTTTCCTCATCTTCATCCATTCCTGTTTCGCGCCGTCCGCTTTGCTCACCTACTTTCTCTCGGATTTGCCACCTTACAAAGACATCTGCTCACAACACAGCGTTCTCAAACTGCCGGTTACAACTCGGCACCACACGCACCAGAAGTCACCGCGTGCCACCAATCGCTTTGACCTAAAACCACCTCTGAAGATCCAGTTCCCCCCCAGGGCTGCTGGGGAGCCCAGAGGTGCATCCAGCTCACCGAGCACCCTCTCCTCCCGCGGCTCGCAGCAGCAGACGGCCAAGGAGGCGCGTAACAAAGCTCAGAGCTCCAGCCCCCCGCTCCCCAAGGACTCCCTGAGCCATCAGAGGGTCTCTGCACGGCCCCCGAAGGATTTTCTTCTCGGAACTTGTTATTTTTTTAACTAAGATTTCACAACATCGTGGCAAACGGTTATCTACGCCCTGTGTGAAACAGCCATTTCCTAGCGCAAGTCACACCACACAGGACTACCAATTCCTGCCACACCATTTCCCCACCACTTCCCCTTCAGTCTGAAGGTGCTGTTACACAGGCTTCCTCTAGAACAACGAGCACAACTTTAAAGACAAAAAAACTGAAGGTCTAGGACATCTTTCGCCACACAACTGAGACAAAGACGACAACTTTATTTGTAAAACCAAACTGTAAAAAAAACTGAAAGTAAGAGGAATTCTTCACTCTTTAGAATTCACAAATACACAAGACTAACATTTCTTGAACAAACTTTTATTTTTTTGCAGCGAGAAAAAAAAAACCTAACTCTTCTGGTTATTTTGCAACACTTGTCAAAACATGGCTTGCCCAATGAGGCCTCAAAACAGGCTGAGCTGCAACTGCAGGTGCACATAAAGGAAAAAATACTATACAGAATAAAGGTAATATATGCTAGAGCTAGAGACAGCCATGGCAGGGAGGAAAGGTTGTGTAGCTGCAGCCAGATCGGGACGTCTGGAGAACACATCCTAAGTGGTAGTGCCATTGGGACAGTAAGTTATAACCCTTAATCTCCCCAGAAAACTTAACGGCTAATTTGTTAAGAAGTATTTTTAGTAATAACATTTGCTTCATTTCAGAAAGCACCGGTAAGTAAAATACTGAATAATTCACATTTAAGCAGATTACACTTTTCCAAAGCGTAATCCATTTATTAACACCGACCCAAATTTGTCGCCCTGTTCAATTTTACACGGCTTTATTTTAAATCAGACTTCCCTTTAAGTTTTCAAGTCTGCCCAAACAGCTGCACTTCTTCCTGGCCTTCAGTGCTTCCAGTGTAAAAGTACTTGAAAATTTATTTTTCCTCTGAACCCCCTAATGCAGCTGTCACCATCTTAACTATTCAGTCAGCTTTTTTAATACACAACATAAATAGGGCCTAGCATTCTTGCATGGTTTTGCCAAATTGCAAAAAAAAAAGAAAAAAAAAAAAAAAAAACACACACTCCCCCACAGGCTTTCCACACATTTGTTGAAGACTATTTAAAATTGAAAACACATGAAACTAATAACGCATTATTCAATTTTTTTAAATTACATTCTCCTGTATTTTTGATGTATCGAGCCTAGGTCTTTCAGGAAAAATCCACAGCTTTCAGAACGCTTTTCCCTCTCCCAGTATTCACCAGTTCCTTCCTTTTCTTCCTTCAAGAGCTAAAACTGTTATTTGCTTCATAGCTGAAAGCTCAGTCAGATGAATGAAAGCATTTTGTGTCCCTCAGAGCTAATCTTCAGGCTCTGGAACAGTCAATGTCACCCAGACCACATTTGGAAGATAATTTTTGCAGATAAATAGGATGCTTTGTTTTAATGCAGACTTTGCAGGAGGAGGGCTGAATACATGAACATCTCATCTACCCTACTGAGATTCAGCACACAATTTTTGCACACATTTTAGTCACCCAGATGACGTTAGTATTTTACTCCACTGATAAAAGGGTTTGTTTTGTCATTTCAAACCCACTGCAGAAGACACAAATAATTTTTAATATTAAAAAAAAAAAAATAAAAATCAATGCACATGGCAATTTTGAAATGCAGTTTGGAACAAAACACGCTGTGCAGCAGTTACAACAATTTCCTAGCACCGTTTCTAGCGTTTTGAAATTTGCATGTAAGCACTCAAACTGGCGAACAGCATCACAATTCATTTAATGCACAGTAAAAAATTAGTTCATAAAACAGTGCAGCAGGTAAGATGCCGAGTACAAGTTTAGGCAATAATCTTTGAAAGACACTCACCTTCATATGAGTGCATTCAATGTTACACAGAGAACACATATGTGGAAATATTCTCGGAGATGTAGCATAGTAGTCATTCATCATTGACGGAGTGGGCAATCTTTTTATCTTCTGGGTATCAGACTGTGGAAACACTGGCAGCCACGATGCTTTCACAACACCAAAAGGAGATTTAATTGGCCCCTCAGCCTGAGTCTGGAAGGGCTTCTGTCCTGCTCCTGAGCCGCTCTGGGCATTGGACTGGCTCGTCCCCACCTCACGCTGAGTTCTTTCGTGCCGGCTTATAGCTGCAAGAAGTTCAGCCGAAAAGGGTGGATGGGTCATCGGTGGCATGACGTGCTGGGTCATCGACTGCTGGACGAGAGGCGGCATGACAGGCGGCATCATGGGCAGTGCCAGGGGTGGCATCATCGGTGGCATCATCGGTGGCATGACGGGAGGTATGGCAGGCTGGGATACAGATTTCACCACGGGGAGCCCAGCGGGTGCTGTGCACAATCCAGACACCTTTCCCGAGGAGGTCTCGGCCGGAAAAAACGATCGAGTATTTGAGGAATCATTCTGGAACCCCGACGGTTTTATTAAATCTTCAACGGGAAACACTGGATTACACGCCACGCTAGACGGTGGGACACCCATGGACATGTTCTGCTCCCGCTGGAAGTCTTCCCTGTTCTCGCTGCTCGATGCTTCAGGATTATAGACACGTGCTTCGAGAGGCTCTTCCGTCAGCACGTCAGGATTATAAGCACGCACTTCCAGGGGATCTTCAGTGTAACCGTATTTGCTCGCATGCCCGTAATCAATCACTTTACTCTTGACTGCTGCACCACTCGTACCACCAACCGTTTCTTCTCCTCGGCTCTGGGTATGTAAGCCAGATAAAGAATGACCCATCTTACGAATCCGTATTTCTCTCAAGATCAGCGGCATGTTTTCAGGCGTTAACTGATCATCTGGATAGCGACTGAGTTCCTCCAAATCTTCATTGGACAGCCCAAAACTCGCTAAAATACTGGAAGCGCTTTCTGGTGTGTAGCGGTTCTGGGCATTTGAATTCTGCTCTGAGATGGGGGCCGAGGCAGGTGGCTTTTGCCCAGCTGTCCCAGCTGAGCAGGGGCTGCTATCCCAGTGACTTGTGCGAGGCTCTGCCTTCTGCTCCTGGTGTAGGTTTGTCTTCTCTTTCACCTTCCTTGGATCAGGCCTGTGCAGAGTTACCCGAACGTTTATCCTCTGGGAACCCGTCCACTGAAAAGTTTCCTGTCCCGAAAATCTCTGTGACATCCCTTGGGGCGTTCCAGGTGCAGGCTTTCTCTGCAGACCCGCTGCACCTCCTCCCCTAAAGGATCCTGGAGGTTTGGTGCCAGACGGATTAGGTCCTCTCGGCCTCTGAGGTAAAGTTCCTCTAGGGCTAAACATCGCGCTTTTCAGAACTGCCTGATTGAACCAAGCATTAGGAGGTGCAGAACTGTTGGGAGCAACTGAGGTCAATTGCTGAAGAGCCAACTGTGTCTTAATTTGTGCAAGCTGTAAAGGAGGAGGGCCCAACAGAAGTGGGCTTGCAATGCCAAGGTTCAAGGAATTCACAAGTGGTGCGAAACTTTCCAAGAATAACACAAAGCTGAAAGTTAAAAGACAAGTATTAGATTATTTTATCTTTTCACCTACTTTACGCAGTGGATTCTATAACCAGTGAGCAAAACAACTGAAGTCACAAACAGTATTTTAATGACAGGTTAAATGGTACTTTTGAATTCAAACTTGTGCTGAACAAAACCATTTTCTTTTACTGCATAAAATCTTAATATGTAGTGAAGAGGTAACAGATAGTTAAGTAAATGAGCTCTAATGTCACAGATTACATACCTAGTGATGACACTCTTTCAACAGCATTTTCTAAAACTTGGTATTTCAGTTCTTAATGACAACACAGTTTGGATTTATTTACAATTACAACTATTTTATGAGCAATAAGCCAAAGTATTAAAACCCTCTCCAAATGTTTATGAGGTGTGAATTGTAAGTGAAACCATTATGTAGAGAATGCAAACCAGTTACAACTTGGATGTCAAGTCGCTGTGGAATTGATCTGAAGACAGCGGAACAGTTTTCAGGAGGGACACTCCCACGACCCCTCTCAGGGGTAAACTACTACACCCTGAAAGTATTCAAAGGGTGTGACAACATTTGAATTCTGTGGCTAGAAAATCTCCTGTTCCCAGATGTTTAAGGCAAGATCTTATATCGAAACAGCTTTAAACAGAAAGGTGTAAAATTGTACAGAAACTGAAATCATCTACATACAAGAATAAAAAAGGCACAATGGCAATGGAAACTGCCATCTTTTATTTGAGCTGAAACCACCAAGAACTCAATCCTCTAAGGCAGTAAACGAATGTACAAATACAAGCAGAATAAGACAAAGTGATGCTCACACTAACAAAAAATGAAATACCACCCAGCTCTTGTAGCACACGCAAAGCAAGTGTTGGGCATCTGCCTGCACTCCAAAACTGCAGAGGCAGCGCACTCAGCAGGATCCCAAGGGGTCCTCACTCCACCCCTTGTCAGTTTGCCGTCTCCCAAAACCGGATAGCATGCTGTTTTCATTCTTCTGGCAGCAAATACGTTAGGCTTGAGTAAGTTTTACTAGCAGATTTTCACTAAGCATAGCTATAACAGGGCTTGCAGACATTCCTAGTTGTTTCTGAACTTGCATGCTGTATTTCTGCAGCGTTGAGGTTCTCATCTCACCAACACTAACCCCATCACAGGTTTTATTTCCAAATTTCATTTAAGTTGACCCCAAACACAAGTTTTTCAAGTAAAAGGAGGTGCCTCTCATGTTTTGAGAACCACAACTCAAAAAATAAAAGTTATATGCCTCTATAGCTTGAGAGGTCAACCATGTACAAACTGCAGGAGACTCAGATTTTACAGCTGAGTTTCTGTAACTTGTTACTATCTCTATGTTAAGCATTCCTTTAAAGTTCTATTAGTAATGATTTAATTTTAACTAAGTACAAACTGAAGTCCAGCCAAGTAGAAACAGTAGCTACAGAAACTTTAATTAGATCTCTTCTCCATTACAAAAACATAGGAAGCCATAATAAAGAAAAGATTCCCACCAGACAACAATCCCAGAACTCTGGCCTCTCAACCAGGACTCCTTACCCAATATCCCTCCCTCCCTCAACAAATTTAATCATATTTAAATGGCAACTGCATGTTAGGCCAAGTTTGTTCAAGGCAGTTTCATAACAGACTATGAAGCAAACATCCCCAAAGTAATCTCTTGTCTTTCAGTTTTGCTGTTCTCTGGAACTCTCAGCACTGGAGGGCAAAAAAACCCTCTCAACACGTGAATTTGGAAAGTAGTTGGGAAGAGGACAATATCAAAGCAACCCATAACAAGAGCAAGTATGAATATATGAGTAGAGCACATTTTAAAAATACACATGCTAGTTTGCAAACTGAACCTTAATTCGGTGGGTGAGGAATCTCCCAGGGGATCTGTTCCGAAGTGTCCTGGGTTTGGCTGCGATAGAGTTAATTTTCTTCCTAGTAGCTGGTACAGTGCTGCGTTTGGATTTAAGATGAGAATAATGTTGATAATGCACGGATGTTTTAGTTGGTGCTGAGCAGTGCCTACACAGGGGCAAAGACTTTTCAGCTTCTCATACTGCCCTGCCAGCGAGCGGGCTGGGGGGGCAGAAGGAGCCGGGAGGGGACGGGGCCAGGACAGCCGACCCCAACTGACCCCCGGGACATCCCAGACCATATGGGGTCACGCTCAGCACACGGAGCTGGGGGAAGAAGTTAGGAAAGGGGGGGGCTGTTCGGGTGATGGCGTTTGTCTTCCCAAGTCAGCATCATGCATGATAGGGCCGGGCTGTCCTGGGGATGGCTGAGCACCCACCGGCCCATGGGAAGGGGGAAAGGAATCCCTTGTTTTGCTTTGCTTGTGCGCGGCTTTTGCTTTCCCTATTAAACTGTCTTTACCTCAACCCACAAGTTTTCTTTTCTGATTCTCTCCCCCATCCCGTCAGGGGGGGATTGAGCGAGCGGCTGTGTGGGGCCGAGCTGCCAGCTGGACCTAAACCACGACAATTTTAGCAGCAGTACTCCAAACTGAGGAAAACACACCTTCCATTCTTGATACTAAAACCATAAAAATAGCCTTACTGAAGCAGAACAGAGGTGTCCAATATCCTGTATTCAACAGTAGCCAATACCTGATGCTACAGATCCTGCTGTAAGTTAACATACTTTCTCCTAAGACCTGAAACTTTCTTCAGCTGACAGTCTAAATGTTGCAATATCATTTTACCGGAGTTGTTAATTAAATAAAATAGTCGGAACCTTTTCTCTGAACCAATCAACAAAATGCTGCAATCTGTTCAGAACATGGTAATATTGGGCCTGCTAACTTACCCTCCAAAAATGTTAAAAATCAAATCGCCTCAAAAGTGGATGCTCCTTAACAAGCAGGACCACGAGAGCCACTTTCTCAGCCACTGTGGTGTTGGCAGACTCACACCAAAGCCAGTCTCTTCAGGTACACAGAAGAGATGTGGCACCAGCATTTGTAACGACTTTCCTGGGGCAGGAAAATAAGAGAACAGATATTAGGAATTTCTCTCTCAAACTAAAACTGCTAGGTTCTCCATCAATATTAATAATTGAAGGAATACCAAAGAGAATTTTGTGATTTCTGTGATCAAAATGCTCGTGCACAAAAGGATTCAAAAGCTAAGGACAAGTAACCTTAAAGCCAAGGTTTAAGACATCCGTATTTGTGCTGTATAGCCCTTAACGACTCTGAAACCTATCTGCAGCCAAACACCGAGGACTTTACTCAGATCCACAATAACGCAAATATATTTGAGCACATCTAAGACACTAGTTTCCCACAGCCCTATCTACATCTGAAGTGGAAGGCAACAGAGGCCAAACGTTTAAACTGCATACTTCCTGGTCGGAGTCGTATGCTCAAATTCTCTTCCGACAGCCAGCGAAGTGGTGAACAGCAGCAAGCCTGCAACGAAGCCTTCAGCAGCACAGTCTCATGACTGACCTTTTCAACAGAAACGCTGGAAACGACAGTTGAAAGATAAAGTGATGCCAAGACTAAGGAAACAAGGGTCTGGACATTTGAGGCTAGATTCTCACCGTCCTCTTCAAAAGCAGCTTTGTTTGGGGTGTGCCTCTGGTCCCCTAGACTGCTTTTTCTGGTGCAGTGACATCCCGACTAATGTTACAGCAGTGACCAAGCACCTTGTTGATGCTTCATCAATGAATGAAAAATAGGTGGAACTCCCCAAAGATCACCGTCCTCTCCTGGCTTCTGGAAAAGGTGGCTCTTGAAACGTAACATTTCAGAGGAGCACAGAAAAAACCAATTATACCCTTTTCTTGCTACACCTTCAACTTCGTCAGTCCATTTTGCAAAGCTTCCCAACACGGACAGAAAAATGAAAAGTTCTGTCTACCTGCTTATGCACTGGAGGGCCTTTAGGACAACGTTTGCCCACGTGGCAAGTACAAGATGATCTTCCACCTTCCCTGGTTTGAGGATACGGGTAGAGTAAGCTTTTACCCTCTCTCACGGTAACCTTCCTCCCCCTCCAGAAGTCCAGCTGCCTGTGTTTCAACGACCCAAGGTCCACCTCTGGTGCAGCCCAGATGCATAACCTTGGCCAGGCTGCTGAAAAAACTCCTCCAGCTGTAGGAAAGAGTCCTGATAAAGTCTGCAGAGAGTTAAAAAAAAAAAAAAAAAAAAAGGCAGGGGGTGGGGGCAGATTACAGGCAGAGACAAACAAGTGTCATTTGCAGCTCAAGGATTCCATAGGAAAAACACCAACTGAGAATGGTGAAAAAAAAACATTATTAAAAAAAAAAAAAAAAAAACAAAAACAAAAAACACCACACAAAACAGGGAGGCGGTGTTGATAGATGGATGACATCAGTGGATGACAGAAACCTAACAACACTGAGGAGCCATTTCAGGGAGCAGCAAGGCCTTCTCCTCCCAGTGCCCATCTGGTCAGCAAACACCAAACACTGAGAGCAACGAGCATAATGTTTAGACTAGCAGTCTGCTAAATCCTACCAGCCTTAGTTGATGTTTAGCAATAAATAAATGTTTTGCTTTTTTAAACTTTCCTTAGCCTGATTGCAGCGTCTCTTTGTACAAAGCTAAAGCAACCTAACCAAAATGACCTCCCCGAGAGTGTTAACAAAGCTGACAATTCACTAAATCTCCTGAAGGCAAGCTAATAAAACTATGTAGAAAACTCCTTTCAGAGGTACAGAAGGAGTCAAAAGCAGTAGGTACCAGCAGATCCGAAGCAAATATGAGAAGTCCTGCAAGTAGAAAAAGGGAAATGCACCGCCGAGTTCAAGCTTTTAAGCACTGAAGGTGAAAAAAAGTGGTACCTTGAAGCCGTATTATTTCAGTGGTCAGCTGTTTATCAACCACAGAATCACCTTTACGTCAGCAGTGCAATACAAAAATCAATCAGATAAAAAAAAAAAAAACAAAAAAACAAAAAAACAGGGCTTAAGCTACAGGTCTGGCAGTGAAACCTTATAAGAATGTGGAAGCTGCTTTCTCTAGTC